TTTTGGTCTTCACCCCAGCCATTACTATAAGACTCTATAGGCGGACCGCCGACCCCCACCCCCTCACTAAAATGGCCAGAACTTCGCCAATTTTGGTCCCAGAGGTATAATTTTTATTGCAAACGAAAGTTTAACATGTCTGCTATCTATTTCAGTCGAAAACAGAAATTCGGATTTTTGAAAATGTTTGGAGAAATACGACTTTGAAGTTTCACCCAAAATTCCGAGAGGAAAATCGCATATTTCTTGGTTTGGGGAAAAAGTTTGAGACCAAAAGTGCTGTAACTGGCAGAGATTCCAAGATAGGAAGCTGAAATTTGGAACACAGCAACTTCAGATGGGTGTGTACCTTCAGTGCAAATTTCAACTTTATATCTCTGATAGTTTTCGGATGGCAGCCTGTTAAAGTTTTGGTCTTCACCCCAGCCATTACTATAAGACTCTATAGGCGGACCGCCGACCCCCACCCCCTCACTAAAATGGCCAGAACTTCGCCAATTTTGGTCCCAGAGGTATAATTTTTATTGCAAACGAAAGTTTAACATGTCTGCTATCTATTTCAGTCGAAAACAGAAATTCGGATTTTTGAAAATGTTTGGAGAAATACGACTTTGAAGTTTCACCCAAAATTCCGAGAGGAAAATCGCATATTTCTTGGTTTGGGGAAAAAGTTTGAGACCAAAAGTGCTGTAACTGGCAGAGATTCCAAGATAGGAAGCTGAAATTTGGAACACAGCAACTTCAGATGGGTGTGTACCTTCAGTGCAAATTTCAACTTTATATCTTTTTTTTTTTTTTTTTTTTTTTTTTTTTTTTTTTTTTGTCCTTTGTAGGTCGGAACATGGATAATTTCCCATTACCTTAACATTGGAATACGTCATCAGGCCCCATCACCTGATTATATTTTACATAGGTTTGTTAAGCGCCCAGTAAAATGGATAACCAGCAATAATCTGTTTATTGACTAGTAATTATGAAGTGTGTCATGTTATGTGCAACATTGTTCGAATATTCGTGTGAATCAGTCAATATTATCGTGCCCTCGCGCCACATGGATTAGTTGCATATAATATGGTGGTGAATAATTAAAGTGGCTATGATTTCGGAACTCAATTGCATGAATAGTTGCTTTCGAAACTTAATCCTTTGGCCGGTAGACTAATTCGAAACCATACTTATGACAAACACTGTATTCTATGTTCATCTTTCTCAAGGGAGAACTCTATTTGAACCATTAAACTGCAACGTGAAAAACATCAAAATATAATGTGCCACCATGTTATTACAACACGCCAAGCCACCTAATAAAAGAATACGAACTAGTTGTCATAATTATGTGTTGTTATGACTATTATTTTCTAATAATGTTGCCTGTTTTATAATTGGCCTATTTCTTACTATTTCTTAAATAATTTGTATGTATTATATACTATAATAATAGTAAATACGGTACATTTAATTAACTTATACTTCTTAGATAAACATAAGAGTTTTTTTTTCAATATTGCATAGTTTTAGGATAAATAGTTCAGGATTTATCGGATTGTTGAATAGATATGACACTGGGAAATGAAATGAAATGAATGGAGTTTTACGTCCTACTTTTCTGCACCATGTGGGCTAATGAAGACGGGCAACGCCATGTAGGGTGCAATGGGGGAAATTTTTGCCAGGACAGCGGCATTAGCCTGCTCTTTTTCGATTTCCAATGTCGATGGATCTTTAACGTGCACAGCCTGTAGCACACGGGGCCTCGGTTTATTGTCCAATCCGAACGACTAGACGCTTTTTCCTTGCCAGCCCCTCGTACCTGCATCACTGACAAGCGGAAACCGGGTTGAAAAATCCGAAGGTATTATCTCGACCTACGCCGGGATTGAATTACCCTGGACCTTCAGGTTAGCGTGCAAGCGTCTAACTCACTTAGCCACCGCGGCTCCCTATTACACTGGGTAGAGTAGGTCCAAAGATGACTACAATCGTTTTACATGCAAAGCGTTCTGATATGTGTAATTCTTTTTATCAACGCTTAGCTAAATATTCCTTCAAAATATCCTTGAGAGTACCACGAAGTTGATTTTCAGTCATTGCCATTGACTGATCGAGTAAATAGTTAGTTCACAAAGAACTGTGAACCAGTTCAGTGGCTGTGGGGCATTTCTAACCTTCCGTATGTCACGTGATGTAAAATGGCTGTTTTGTAATCGCTACGTTGAAGGTTGTTTTGAGAATATTGATGGTAAATTATGACTTTACCATACAATTTCTCACAAATTACTCCGACAGTCTACATCATAAACATGTTTACTTCAATTAAAAATAAATTTGCATCGGTAAGTATCTTCTGTTTTATCTTTATCAGAGATAGAAGTTACATCTTAGCCGTCCTCCTTTTCTTCATTTCACTTCTGTTTCACTGCATTCAATCGTATCGTTCGTTATTACATTATTATACAAATTGTAGCCAAATCACAGGGATTTTATTAGTATGTTTTTTCAGATCAATTTGTTAGTCGGCTAAGTCTTATTTTAAAGTTAGTAGGTCTAAATAATGTAGATCTCCTCTCTGAATTGAATATTTTCTCTCCTTTCTCAAAATAGAATTTTCAAATACACAGCCATGCCATTTGTCTTAAAATGTCTTTGGGTCCTTAGAAATCCATAGAAATATATAGTTTTGCATTTAGAATAATTTCCAAGAAAAATTTAAAAAGAAAAAGAGTTTACTGTAAGTTCTTACTTTTTGGACTGAAAATTCCCCCTGTAAACTCAATGTTAAGCCTACAAATCATAACTTTTCCTGTTGGTATTTTCATCAATCCAAAGGCAACTGATTGCTAAAATTCAATTCAGAAACAAGTGTAGTCAGAGAGTAATAACATAACATTTAAATCGTGGGTGACTGCTTGAAACCTCGTATATGCCATATTTGGTCATTTTGACTTTTTGGTACCGTTCGAAAGCTCGTAAAAGCGCGGATCTTGTGAACAAATCCTCGTATTCTTAATCGAGTTTTTGGTTCAATAGGTCGGTGATCTCGAATTGTTATACGAGGTTTATATTTTCCAAGAATGAAAACCACGTATAGCGGTAAAAAAAATAATCAAAAAGATTTTAACAAAATACGCGTACCGGTACAAATAGTTTTTTGCGAGAAAAAGTAATTCCGCGTCAGATATCGTTTTACGAGGTTTCAAGCGGTCACCCACGAAATTCACATTATTAAGTTTATTAAGATACTGGTTTACTATATTCTATTAAGCTTAGACGAAGTTAGTACGTAAAATGTTCTTCTGTCTGTTTTGGTGAATGTTTTTAATTATGTTTTTACAGTGTTAGAATACCTGATATGTGTTAGAATGATCAAGTCTAAATAGAACTTGAAGTTCATTATGTTTGGAAATAAATGGAAGAAATGGTTGCAGATTTGTAAGCCACAAGATTCTCCACCCAGAAATAATGTTTTTGTTGAAGTTCTGGTATTAAATGTAATGGTGAGACGAAGATTGACAAAGAAAGATGTACTACATATCTCTATTGGTAGTTTACTACTTTTAGTTACAGCTTTTATATTGACATATGGTGTTATTTTACATCAGGTGGATAGAAAAATACATCTAGCCTCTACTAAATATCAAGGCACCGACAAATCTTTGGTTGATACTGAAGGTCGTCATACTAAACGTGTCAAATTCAAATTCAAGCCAAGAGTAAATTCTGATGCTGTTGAAATTGGAGCCTCTCCCAAACGTATTACAATTTGGAAACCATCAGACTTTTTAGGAAAAGCATCCGATATGCCAAGATGTGTGACAAATTCCAAATTTTTAGTTGTAATTACCTCAGCTCCTACTCATTCAGACCGTAGGTCAGCCATTAGAAAGACTTGGTGCAATCCTTATGCTTCAGAACATTCTCAAGATTCCTGGCAGTGTGTGTTTTTGATTGGAAGTGTTGAGGGTGACATAATTTCTAGAAAAGTTAAGAAAGAGATGTCAGTTTATCGGGATATTTTACTTGGCAGCTATATAGACTCTTACAGAAACCTCACTTATAAAGTTCTAAATGCATTCTCTTGGAGTAAAACCTACTGTCCTATTAATTTTGTTTTAAAAACAGATGATGATTGTTTTGTGAATACAAAACTTCTTTATCAATTTTTGATAACTTATAATGACAAGACTACAGACTTGTATGCTGGTAATATATTTATGGAAGATTCCAATCGACCTGTGATTCGTAATGAATTGAATAAATGGCATGTAGCAGAAGACACATATTCTCGGGAAAGTTATCCACCGTATGCTAGTGGAACTGGCTATATTTTGTCTCAAGATGTTGTTGGTAGAGTAGTAGATGAAAGTGTGTATCATAAACCTATACCAATAGAAGATGCCTATACCGGTATATTGGTGAATTCTCTAGGAATTGAACCTGTACAAAGTGCTCGTTTTATGACATTTAGCTCAGGCTTAACTTTATGTAATTATTTGTATCTCTTTGTGTCTCATAATGTCAAGGCAAATCAACAGTTTGAGATGCATAATAATATGATGATGGCACATTCAAAATGTCATAATGATGAAGAGGTCACCTCTTGGTTTTAGGTGAGTAAATTTCATTATATTTATATATGAACCACTTAAACGACAAGTATCTGACTTTTGTTTCAGAAATTATGTAACAAAAATATACAAAAATATTACGGAACTTAAGAATTAAAATCCTTATACCGTTTAAAGCCTATACAAAATATTCCTAGGAGAAATTGATGTGTATGTCTAAAAGTCCAAAAATGACCAAGATCGATGAGGTAAGGTTCTCGAAGTGTCATTTCCATTTAAGTTCAAAATGTTATTTATTTCAGATAGAATAGATATATTAAGTGGTTGTGACGGTTATTGTAGAAAGTATTGTTGAAGATTTTTGAGATTTTATTAGATTTTGAGATTCAGGTGTCATTCCTTATTATTTTTGTGACATAATTGCTTGAGTATTAATTTATCATGCTATATAACTGTATATAAAAGATTATGTGTAACCAGTAGTTCATTGGATTATAGCTGGATTTATTGAGGGTCTATGAGTCGGATGAATAAAACCTTTGATCAAGAACAATATTCTGTGCACTTCCACAAATCATAATTGGTATCAAGTGTATTACTCTGTAGATCAAGGGTTAGGCATCATCATCAGACTCAGAAACTCTTACATGATTCAAGATGAGAACTCAACAACGATTTATGCTATATTTAACAAAAACATTTATAATATTGTCAGGGAAAATCATTCATGAATCAAATAATGTGAGTTAACACAGATTTATGATGAACTTAATCATTTCAAGTATCCAGAGAATGAAAGTCTGATATTAAAATTAAACCATCCATAAAAGAATACTGGAAGCAGTTTTCATTTGTGCTAAAGAGAGTGGAATTATGACAAAATCAATCTCACTTTATACCCTCTTTGCGTTGTCAGTATGTTCTTCACTGAATTCAATTTCTATAACATACTAACATACAAAATTAATAGGCAATAAGTTGTTTTGAATCATTGATTTGGTTTGATGTGTCTTAAAATGTTGAATTTTGATATCTTCACATGTTGACTTTTGAATTAAATTATTAAAAAAAAGAAAGGAATCAAGCAGATCCAAAAATATGAAGTTTATTCAAAATATTGATGTCCTAAATTTAGGTTTGATGAAAGGTTCCTTCCGGAGGTTGTTCTCAGAAACTAAAACTTAAGAAATCAGGTTGATTGTATGATGGGTTAGGGTACAAGTCAGATGGAAAAATTTTATTAGCAAATTATTACAAAAATTTCAGTACTGTAAGCTTACAGTAGTAGACTTTGAATGATCAATCTTATCAATTACGTTAGTTTGTTAAAGTTATAAGAAAGTTTTAAATTTGAATTTTGCAAATCAAAAAAAATATCGCTTTGCAAAAGGCATCATTTTGACGTGCAGATATGTGACCTGTGATGTGATACCACTTAAATTGATACTGCATCTGTCTTATATATAAGTTTTGATGTTTCTGGTAACAACCTACAGAATTATTGATATTCGAATTTGTTGCAATTTATAGACCATTGCTAGTGCCTTATATTATTATTGATGTTATTATTTAGTTTTTTTTATTATTTACTATATTTTGTATTAGTAGTGCTAATTTTGTTAAGTTTGCAGTGAAATGAAAGGTATTAGATTAATATCCATTCCTCTCTGTAAATATTGAATTAATTCTGTATAATTGAACTATAAATGAATTTTTGTAAGGAATTAAATTGGCCACAACACTCCTATTTAAAGAATAAGCTTATCAGATCATGCAGAAGCATAACGTAAACTGTAAATGTTTAGTTAATGTTTGTGGCCATTTTATTTGTTCAGATTCTTGTACTTCTTATATGAGAACAGAGTTTTTTTGTTTGCTCTGTACTATTATTTTTCTGTTCTTCTCTCTGCACTGTCATTCTGTCAAGGATAGTGTGATTACAAAAAGAACATGGTGCAATACACCAACAGAGAATTGGATGAACAGATTTTTGATATAGATAATTATTTTGGAGTGTATGTTGTACTTGGTATGTGAGAGGTTGTGGTTAATGGTGATGGAAATTTTAACATTGCACTGGTAAAAGAAATTTATGCCCATCTTGGAATGATAAAAAGAGGTAGCAGTCAATTTTGTAATGAAACTATGCCTTTACTAGTGCTAGAAAATATTTATAAAAAAGACAAAACTGAGTCACCAGTGTTTTAAACTAATTTAAATATTAGCATATTCTATGCATGCATTGTCATGTATTTAGAATTTATTTATCAATTAGTGCTATTGTTGAAGTGATGAGATTCTTTGTAGTTTCTGAGTATAAACTTGACATATTCAAATTGAATTATTGTAAAATATGTGACATTTAAATTCAATAATATATAAACGAAATCTCATAAGACAACCACCGGTGAAAAATTCATTAAAATTTATAGCTCATTTCATATCTAGTTTGAATCTCAAAGATGTTTAAAGTAACTCATAATCTCTAACACCTATTTGTAGTTATTTGAATATATTTTAAAAATCCTTATCCTTATTTTACACATCCTTATACTTTGAAATGAACCAGAATAAAAAAGTTTATTGTGAGGTTCTATAGAATCGGTTACAGCGTTGGTGCTTTACATGACGTCATTTGCTTGGTAACATCAAGTGAATGGTGACTGTTGGTTCAATTCTTGATCGGCGTGTGATTGTCCGATGACCTGTTAATGGGTACGGATAATTCGTGAAAGATCAATGCCAAGGACCAGCTGGTAGAAAGGATCCTTAACTGTGTGAACCTAAGTTGTTATCCTTATAAAATATAGTTGTTTCTTTCTTTTTTTCTTTCTTTTATTAATTTTCATCATTTTTAAATGCATGAAGAATTGTTTCAAAATAAAAGGATACACATGAACGTATGTGCTTTACTGACTTTTAAGACTGTTGATATTAACTTTTTTCCTACTGTTGAACTTTCAGGCTGTTACATTTTCACATGCACATATCACTGATAGGATGTGTGATAACTGTATGTTATAATGGTAAATGACAAAAATTCTTTTTCAATATTGACTATTAATTTGCGGGCACACGAACGGCCTTGGTGGGCGATTTTTGTCGGCAACTCGTATCATGTTGCCAACAGGATTTATAATATCAAACAAATAGTGGAAAACTGACTGGAGATTTTTGTCTCCTTTTATGCCCCAGACTCTAGTCTGAGTAAAAATTCGTCGATCAAGACCTTTCATGTTGCCGCATTTTTTAAGTGTTATAGATTTCATATATATATATATAAGACTAACAGATGGTCTCTTCTGTCATATTGATTGACATACATTCCTATAATTATAATACAGGTCAATCTTCTCAATTTCTAAATGATTTTTTACCTATTACACATAATATTTATCTTGATATCATGCTGTTATGATTCTATAAGCCAAAATTTTTGTCAGAATGATACAAAATGTTGCTTGAGAATAATAATGCTAATTTGAATGTATGAAAAATACTTAATATTTTATCAATTTTAAGAATAGTTAATACTGTGAATATTCATGATAGGAAATCAATTTTTTTTTAAGTAAAAAGTAAATTCTATGTGAAAGAAGGAAATAAATATTATCTATATGAAAAAATAAGACAAAATGTCATAAAAAAAAGTATCTTCTCAATGACTACAACTTTTCATGACTTAACATTCCCATTTATATGAACATTAATTCTATATGAGAATGTATTGTAAATTTTATTTATAGTTAAATAAGAGCTTAAAGATGGGTTCCCTTATTTTCATTTATGAAAATGAAAATGCTAATACTTATATGAACAGAAAATGGAGGTGTTTTAATAACTTGCAAAATACCATATCCATAATACATAATTAACTGAATTAGAAGAGAACTATGAGTAGAATTCCAATGAGTGACCGATCAAGAAAGGTCAAAAAGTCTTTTTTGGGCATTTATGATTGGTTAAAACTCTTAATTATATGCAATAAGAACATAATAATTTGATTACAAATATATAATATTTCATTAGAAGTTCCAATTAGTCAAATCGTTTGCTTACTTTGACACTAAAAAAATAAGGAAACCCATCTTTAAATAGGAGCTTACTTTTCCTTTTATTTTATGTGTAATGTTAGATTTAAGGCCATAGGAATATAGGAATATAGCTCAAATGAAATTTCTGCGCATAGTCTGAAACATTGAGTGATAGAAGTTATACTAGTAAGCTTAATTGTTTGCAGAAATATTTTGTTGCATTAAGGGCATGTACAGCTTCTCTTTGATAAGATCTTCAGAAGGTCAAGCTATTACAAACTTCTTGACTGCAATTTTCACCTTTCTTGCTTCATGGAAGTTTATAAATGAAGCGATTTGATCAGATTGTACACTAGCGAATATAGTCGAACGACAGGAAGTTTGTGAACACAATGTAATAATGTTTGTAGTTTCTATGTTGAGGGCTATATTTGCTGGCATACAATCCAATCAAATCTCTGCATTCCATGATAGAAATAGTGGCTATTGTAGTCAAGGTGTAGTTAGCTCTTTCAAGAAAAACACTTAATTAAAATGTTGATATTTCAAATGAGATCTTATCTTTTGAATGTTTTTTGAGATAGTGATGAATTACAGTAACCATAGTCATAAGAAGTGAAAATTGGAATGGCTCAATTAGTGACCCCTTTTAATTGAAACGACTAATAAAGTTTTTTTTTTAAATTCATTTAGTTTAATTGTGAGATATTGCTGTGAATAAGATACTTTCAAACATCTGTTTTGTAAAATGAATGTGTGTGTATGTTTTAAATTGGTTTTATGAGTAGGTTTAATGAATTTACAGTGATTGAAATAATGGCCTTATTTGTAATTTAATTGATATATACTCATTAAGCCCACCTTTATTATAATTATTTAATTGTAGAATTAGCATATAAGTATAAAATAAGGATTAGGTTTAAGGCAATGTAATTGTTTATTTATGGAATTTTATTGTTAAAAAATCATACATGAATTTATCCCTGACTTTTCATAAAGTATTGCTAAATTTTGAAGATGAGCTAAGATTATAGTTCGATAGAAATTATGACTTTTGTCAACAAAACCTGCACCTGCCATGCATTAGACTTTTGTGGGCATTAATGCACATTACTGCAGGTTTCTTTGAAATATTCATATTTTTTGTAATGTTGTTTCTCCATTATTGTATGTTTAGTTCATGAAGTTAACAGTAATTTATTGTGTTTATATTTTTTAAAGATTTGATTTGTAAATCTTTGTGTGAATGAAGTGATAATAAAGTCATTATTTGAAAATTATATATTTGTGTTGCAAATACGTTTCATTGTCTATAATAATAAACACATGCACAAAACTCCTGAATAATATAATATGCCCTATGATCAACCCTTCATGTATGAAAAAGGAATGGAGAATACACATACAGTCGTTTTGGACACACGAATGTCGCTTGTTATTCTGGCCATTGTATGTATTCAAATGGCAATCTGCTTCATTTTCTAGCTGTTGAGGAAGGACACTGTACTTGTCAATAGATTTGTTGCTGTTGCAACTAATTTCTATCACTGTCACAGTGAAACAGACATTAAAATGAAATACAATTTCTAATAAAGAATAAGGTCAAAGTTCATTATTCATTGCTTTTAATTAAGTTTAGAATGAAGAAATTCAAAAATATAAACTTTCCTTTATCAATACAATTCGATAACCTGAAATACTGCATGAGATGAAATATTTAAGTTACATATTAGGATGAATTTAATGAGATAAATGATGGATAGTTCCGAGGGAAAAATATGCATAAAATCATGCCAAACAAAACGATATGTGCTTGTGTTCCTGGTGTCTTACATAGACCAGGAAAATACTTTGCCTTAATTGCAATGATTTTCAGGTGGAGAAAACAATCTTTCTGAATTTTTGTAGTAAGGCTCTTCAACTGTGATATTTTGTTCAAATCTGGTCATCTAATAAAATGAACAATCTAAATGAGTGTAAGAAAATTTTGAAAAGACTAAAGATTAATATTAGCTATAAGAGTAAAAAAATTATAGAATAAATTAGATCATGAATAATGAAATAATCATTACATAGAATTCAAAACCAAAAAATCCTATTAATTTCTTTCATTGAAAAGCTATTTAAGCAATTTTCATTGCATGATTCAATAATTTCTCTTGTTTGTTATGAAACATTTTAAAAATTAAAAATATCCAGTCGTCCTTATCATTTAATGTTCCATAAAACACAATTGACAGTTTACATTTATGTTTTGAATCCTACATGGATATGAATACATATGTTTTTGTTAATAATTGCTTGCTTGCTTGCTTGTTTGCTAATATTTAATTCAGCATAAATTACATCAGAAATAGTTCAAGAGATTTCAACTAAATTCAAGGTACATGTAATAGAATACTATGTAATGATAACAGTATGATAAATGATATGAATTATTATGATATGATGTATGTTATATAAACAGTATGAAAATATCACTCTTATAATACAATATACATGTATATATACACACATAATTAACAATTTATACAACAGCCTAGTACATTTCAACCAGTATTTACATTTTTACACTATCTTTTTAAAACACAGATACAAAGATGTTTCTTATGTTTATTTTCTGTTTACTTAACTCATACCATGATCTGACAGCATTCTTTAGTTTAACCAACTGATGGAATACAGTACTGAATATTATTGATTAAGATTTCTAAGAGTTCTTAGATACACCTTCCTCATGTCATGAGATCACCCTATGAACGAAGTAATCCATAGTAAATATACATGTCCAAAATAAATATCTTTATATGTATGTTATAAAATGTACTTTTTTATATATACCATAAAGTATACTAATTGTTGATAATGCTTAAGTTGCAAGAATACATCTAAAATGATAACATGCAATCCACACATTTAACAATAGTTACCATAAAGTTCTTACTAAGTGACTGGAGTTGGCTGCAAATTCTTGTCAATTGTAACAAATGGATCCACATAAGTTTTTGATTTTACCTATTTTATAACTTTATAACAGTAACAATACCAGTGGCTAGGCCCTATATTTCAAAATATCAATAGTCATATCTCAGCAGTGTGAAAATAAATACTGACTGAGGAAGTATAACAAGTCATTTATATCTTAACACCTATATCCTATACTTATCATATACTATTGCAATATCATTAATATTTATATAACTAATTCTTAAATCAATATGATATGAATTAACCTATTGTTACAGAACTGCATCCGCACTGAATAATGAAATTAAATGAATACCAAAATTATTTACAATTGATATTTCAAAACAAAAAATTCACCAAGCTGCTTGCATAATATTTCATTCGATAAATAGATGAGATAATTATTTGTAAGTTTCTTTAGTATAATCAGTGTATCACATTTCAACTAACTTGAATATAACAATAACAAATATTATTATAAAATATAAACTATGAACAAATATGGATTTTTAACTAATAATCTGTACCTTAACTTTAATCTGCTGCACAAACTTTATACAACTCTGTAATAATATCAATAAGGAAGTGAGACATTAAAGTTGAGTACTGCTATACAAATAAATAATTATCAATATTTATTTTGGCAAAATTATTGATACTTCTATTGTACAAGCAAGGAAAATAATATCATTTGTGTTAAAATCAAATCCAACCGAGGTAGTGTTGCCAAAAATATAAATTTCATTTGCTTTTACAAGAAGCTTTGTTCTTATTAACAAAAATATCAAATGGAAGGTTATATCAAAGTTAGGATTGTTGAGATATCCATAGATCTTAATTCTGTGTGGAATATGAAACTTCACCTTCACCTTAAAAATGAAGACTAATTTTTGAAAATAATTTTTATCATAGTTTACCAAAGAAGCTAAATTTAAAAAAAAAAAATCAGGAAAAATAGCACATGAATATTATTGTTACGTCCCACAAACAATGACAAAAACCTGCCAATTGCTTTTCAAGGGGAGAAAAATTTATTGTGAACCTAGGAAAAATATAATAACCACCCATTCAGACAACAAGAGGTATTATAGATTCTTGAAACCTTCAGTCACCCTGGAGTTAATAGAGAAAGAACAGTAGCTTAAATATAATATAAAGTTAGAAATAAGTATCAAATACCAGAACACTATATATGTGGTTGAGTATATGTGTATATAAGATAGGTTGTAAAAAGAAATTAATATCGTTTTGAGAAAAGCGAGAGTTATCCCTCATTAGCATCATCATAGCTTGATAATGAACTGGAAGGAGATACTGCTTGATCATCTATGGACATAAATGATTCACAAGAGCTACGTACACTTGGTAAATCTTTTAATTTATTGCAAATATTTGGACTTTCTTCTTTCTCGTTGATATCAGCTTGATCACAATTACGCTCCGTATATAACCCGTTTTTATTATTACTAGTTAACCATTCACAATCCACACTAGCAAACTTAGCTTGTCCAAACATCCTTCTTCTAGTAGCTAATTTACTGGATTTATTTAGTATTGGAGGAAGTTTCGGTTCATCACAATTTACATTATGGTTGTCCTCTTCATCTTCTTCCTTATCAGAATTTTCTAGAGCACTATACGACAGTTTTTGAGCCAGTGTTTCTGACAAACTTTCAGATAGTAAAGTACTTTTTGACCGTGAACGTAATATCAATTGATGATTGTTCCATTTAGCACTACCACAAAGTGATTCCATATGCAACTCTTCAGCTGCCTTCCGTAGTAAAACAGGTGAAGATGGTAAAGATTGACATTTTCTACTAGACCCTGATTTCTGTTTAAAAGTGAAGCTAGATTCGGGTGTGACTGGGGTACAAGGGGGAGTAAACATTGCAGTAGGAGATGGTAGGTCTTCTGAATGATCTTTAGGTGTATCAAACAGTTTCCTACCATCTTTATATTTGGTGGAAGATAAGAAAGGATTACTTTGAGCTGGTAAATAGAATTGATCAGCTTCACTCATAACTTGTCCTATTGAAAAGGCTGAAGTGAGGTCTTCTTGATCTAAAGCTTCTACATCACTTGAACTATCATTAGCTTGTAAAATATTATCTTCAGACTTCGACCTTTTACATCCATTTCTTTTATCTGAAACAAACATGATCCAGAAAGAAATTAGTAGCCCTTCATAATCTAATTTCCAGTTTCAGAGATCTTCTTCTAATTCTTAATTATCAGAAGAGCCATTATAGTTTATCCTTCAGAATTTTAATTATTTCTACTTATCTTCTGAACATTATTAGCCAATTACCAAGACTCCTTAAAACAAGCAGTATGAAGGGAATTTCACTACAACAAATTCTGCATGACCAATTGACCTCAAGCACATGGGCCATTTTATTGTATCTCTTTCAATAGACTTGACCTTTTACTATACTTCTGGCAGAAGGAAAGCATAGTTTCAAATGGATTAGCTTCCAGGTTGGTCAGCATGGCCTATTAAGCTAACCAGAGATAACACAGGAAAGGTAATACAAATCTTACATGGTGTTCTCCCCCTTTGATCAGTGATTTCATCGTTCAGGAGGTCATTCTGTAGAACTTTAAAAATCTTATCTAATGCCTCTTCAACTTCCTTCATTGCTGGTCTCTTTTTTGGATCAACCTATAAAGAGTTCAAATAAAAACCAAACTGGTCAAAACACTTAACAAAATATATTAGGTATTCATAATTAACAATTGAATATAGATCAATACAAAACAGAGCTTCACACAAAGTAACAGTTTAAAAGCTATTTTGACTAAATTTTGTCCTAAAAATTGTCTTAAAACATATGTTGAATAAAACATAAACATAAAAAAACATCTTCCCTGGTAAGGAAACATATGTGAGCAATTAGAAATTATAAATTTTTTTTTGCAACAGAACAATCAAGGGCCTTAACTTACCTAGAATGTATTTCTTCAACATGCGAAATTGAGACCTTTTGAACAAGTCAAGGACAATTAGACAGAAAATGTGCCAAAATTCAGATGAGTGTACTTACATGGCAGCATTTAAAAGCTAAATGAAGAAACTCTAATGGACTGTAAACAACCATTTCTGCTAAAGCCACATAATCTACACCAAAGTTCTACAGAGAAAATACTTTATGGATAAGATATTATTTCTAAAAGCAAAGATTACTGATCACCAAAGTTTTTTTCAGTACATAACCGGAAATTATAAGCAAATTCTATGTTGTCAAATATTCAAATTTGAGTAGTGCAATAAAAACCAAATAAACATACATTGTATTAGCTATGATGACTCTTCAAGTTGACAAAATCGAGTGATATAAGTCATACACATTGTACTGATGCTGAATTTCAATACTTTGGTATGGAGCTAAAAGTGTATCAGTTGAAGAATGACGAAATTTCTCCAAATTAATATAAAAATATTGAAACTTACTACAGTACGTGGTAATACATCTGGATCTGCATCAATTCTAGCTGTTATTTCACATAATATAATGCCAAATGAAAATACATCAGCCTAAATAAATAACAAACAAATATAATTATGTAAATTATAATAAAATATTTACCTCAAACTAATAGAAATAATGCAACACCATGTAGTGTACAATGAAGACATCATGCTATAACAGTACAGACACTTTTTCCATGTCAGCCCCTCTTACCTGCATCACTGACAGGAGGAAATCAGGTTGAAAAATCCGAGGGTATTATCTCGACCTATGCTGGGATTGAACCCTGGACCCTCAGGTTAGCGAGCAAGAGACTAACTCATTGAGCCACCATGGCTCCCTTTTGTAGTACAAAGAAACAAATACTTTAATATGAATCTCCAACAGGAGAAAATTGGTCATTAAGTCATAGACAAAAAAGCAAATATTGAATTCAAACTGGCCATGTGATATTGACTCTAAATGATTTCAAATACTATGGAAATTTAAAACTACCGTAAAACAAAAATGTCACATGACAATATCAAATGTAAACAGAACAGATCTGTATTAAATTTGTTATCAAATATCAATGAAAAATGAAATCTTTGCTTGTCTGAAGATTATTTTAAAATTGGTCTAAATTGAAACTTATTTCATCTAACCAAATAATACAAATTCTTCCAAAATTCTTGTCTAAATATTTGCTTTAACTCGATTCTAGAATTCCAAACTAAAATCAAGTTCCAATGTAGATTTAAAGGGACAGATGCATCATTCTTTTTGACCAATCATACGTTAGTCTCAGAAACAGGAGCTTTTTGGCTAAGCCAATCAGTTATAGTGTTCACAGCTCACCATTAAAATTTGATCCGTGTTTGTCATGAATTATCTGTGTTAGAATGTTAAAAGGACGACTCGTCTGGAAGTGGCAACAGTTTAATTGCCACATTGAATTGTCATAGAACATGAAGTCAGAATTGAAATCTGAAAGGTGAAATCGAGCTCTGTCATCTGGTAAATCACTGGCTCTAATTCTTACATAGATTCAAAATTCTCGTTAATCTGCTTTTGTTCAGTGTAAAAAGGTTTTGAAAATTATCAGACTTTATAATTAAAGATAAAATTTAATCAACGTCTAGAAAAATATCCTTAAATCAACATCCAATCACAATGTACTTGATAACTTTGCCAAGTTGAAATAGTTCACATGGTGAAAATTGGCTCACTTAAACTGTTGAACAATTTCTTTCACAAATATTCCAAATTCTTGTTTGACTACCTGCACACTAACTAACCTCCACAACAATGTCAAGTCCAGCTAGCTGATTATTTATCTACAGATTATTCGCTTCAAGTTTTATGTTTACCAATGGTTGAAAAAAAACTTCAGATAACTGTTTCAACTTTATTTTGAAATGAAGTAGCCAAATTTAATTTTCTCTTGCAGTTTAGACAGTTTTTGTTTTTATTTGTATAATAGCTCTAAACTAATATGTTCTGTTATAAATGTAAGCTCAATATGAGTGATATCTCCCTAAATATGCAAGGTATATGTTAATATATAAAGTGATTACTTTTTATAATAACAAAGTACATGTAATGTCAATGAAACTCTATAGAACTCTTTTAGATGAAGTGGGCCTCAACCTCCATTCTCAGACAGTTCTAGAATTGGTTAACACCGATTCCTGTTAAATTTATCTTTAACTTACCATTTCATTATAAAATTCACCACGTAAAACTTCAGGTGCCATCCAATAAGGAGAACCAACTATAGCTAATTTCTCATCAGTAGAACTATTAAAATTACATTAATAAAACATTAGTAACAAGTCTGTATTTTAGAATTCTAACCCTGTTTCCGGACTGCCTGGCCTGAAGATGGAATTATCAATCTAAAATCAGCAATCTGTTCTTGCCAGTTACATGTAGTTAAATTAAAGGGATTGTAAAGAGGTTTTCTAAATTTTTTATGTGTATCTGGGACACTGATAGCATCAATTTGCACCATTCCAGAAAAACTCTTTACAATCCCTTTTAATTTAATCGGATTTAAATGCAGTTCTAGTTTTTTCTGCAGGTTACTACACTCCATCTATGATCTGACCAATTTCTTAATTACCTTGGAATTTTAGCAGCTAAACCAAAATCTGCTACAATAGCTCTCATGACACCATCAGGTTCTATCTTGACTAATACATTCTAAATCGGAAAAAAAAAAATACATACTTCATTTACATAGCTAATAAACGAAGATGATTAACTACTCTCTTATCTTTCTGTGTAGTAATCAAATTTACACAGTATAAATATCTCACCAAAATAATACAATTTGGCAATAATATTCTGGCAAATACTGCCAACTTCTCTTTTATAGTTCTGACTGACTTTTATGAACTTGGCACAAAGTGGCTTCTATTCAATTTCCTTCCCCAAAATGATACTTGTAAGGTTTGTAGGTTGGTTTTTCTATATTACTAGTAATGGTATCAAAAGTAAGCTTCAAATTACATTATGACTATATCAAATTCTCTTCTAAAAACTGGATAAGATGAGGTTTTTCAAACAAAACACAGACTTCTGTGGGACATTTATTTCAACCATAACAGAAAATGGCCAAGTAGATGCAATAAATACTAACAGACATATTGACTCAGATCACAAAAATTGGGTCCGATTGCCAGATATTATTTCAGGAAGTGTATACACATGTATGTATGTGTTTACTACAATTACTAAAAGATATAAAAATCTCACCCTTGATGTTAAATCTCTATGTATAAAGCCTCTAGAATGTATATATTTTAATCCTCTAGCTATATCTAATGATAATTTAATACGCCACATCCATGGTAGTTCTTCTTCTTTATCTAACAACTGCCGTAAACATCCAGTACTTATGTACTAAAATAGAAAAAAAAACCAACATAAAATAAAGGTTCTATAAAGGCTTTTTTAGACGTTGATGTGGCATTGATTTAGGCGTTGATGTGAAAAAACTTTGCTACAAATAAAGAAATTCTTATCATTCAAGGGCATATTGACAAAAATAATGTTTGCAATCATTTCAAATATTTATGCAGAGCATCACAAAAAAGTCAATTAAAAACCCAAGGAAAATTTGGTGTCTAAAGAGAGAGTACTAGAAGAGTAAAATTGACACTGTACATGGTGTATTCTAATACTATAATCAATATGTATCTGACAAAACATAACAGATGTGATATGTCATAAAAAAAATGACTTTCTCTTCAAACTACAGCTTTTTTGTCTTAAATGGATTGTAAATGGGTTTTCTATATTTGTTGTGTATCAGGGCACTGATAGCATCAATTCCAAAAAAGAAGTGTAATCGCAAAATATTCAGGCCCTTCGCGATTAATCCAATAAATAAATATACCACACTAAATATGACAAGAAGTACTTTAATCACACTAGAAGTTATTATTATGAATATTTATGATTGATTGTTCATTATGATTATAAAGACTATTAATGTACTATGGAATAGTCTAACAATCTATTAATAACATCATTTCTTGGTCCACAATTTTGATTAAATACTGCTACATTTAATTACAGTATCTAATAGCATACACTTTTTAACCTAAGATATTTTCATTCTTGTTTTATAGCCTGGTATCTGTAGACACTTATACCTTCTATTTGCACCATTCCAATTGTTTCTTGTAGGAACCACTGACAATGGACAAGCAAAGGCAGTAAGGGCAAATATAATCCATAAGCATTCCTGATACACACAAACAGTCTAATATATCTTTTTTGAATACCTTATAAGAAACAATCAGTTCAAATTTTATCATTAGGGTTAAAATTCAGTGGTTGGGATAAACTGAATTACCACAAATATTTTTTCTAATTTCTCATGAAAAGAAGTTAAGGGGAAGTTAAAATGGTAAAAATACGATTATTACTTTTGGCATTCCATTTTTTGAGAAGGAATTTTGAAAAGGCTTGTAATTCAAAGTGGTTCCACCTATAAAGCTGTAATTTGGTGAAAAGATGTCTAATATATCTACATTGATGAGGTACAAATATTATGGCCATAGGTTTGTACCATATGAATTACGCTGAAATGAAAAGTGCCATCATTTTTTCTGGGCCACCTGATTAACTAAAAAGAATATTATCCACAAAGGAAAGGGCAATGAACCAAGAAAGCACTACATGAAATGCTTCACAGGAGAATTCTTAATTGACATAGTTAAGATCAAACATAATAAATGTTGACAAGGTAAAGCTGAAAGCATCCAAGTATACCACGTAAACATCTTTCTAAAAGATCCTGGTCAATGACCTGGTATAATTTAATAGAAGACAGGGCTAATTATATATTATGTGAGGATATAGAAATCATATAAGAGGGATATTAAGGAGTTTGTAAAGATGTCAACTATAGTAATTAAGCTAGGGTAAGTGATAGATTAAGTCTAACAGTAGTATACAATGATATATATATGTTGACGGGAGGTTATTTTCACCTTGACCTTTCTTCACAGATACCTGTACCAAAATACCAACATAAACAATTACATATCAACAGATTGACTAGTTGAGAGTAGTTTTACTGTTGATTTGGCAAATTACCATAATTCTAGCAACTTTCTCTTTCACTCTATGTCTAATTACAATAATAAAGTTTGTAGTTCAGTACATCTTATATATTTCATCCTTACACACAAATATCATTTCAATTGATACAAATTATCTGAAGAAGTATATAGTCCTTTTTGATTCAGCAGAACTGTTTGCAATTTAATATTTTTAAGATCAAATGTGACAAGGGTTTTAGTTTTATAATTCACTGGATCAGAAATATATTTTTAATGTTTTCTTTGACTAGATTTTCTATTTCAAAGATATAGATACAATTCGTTTTCCTGTATTTTTTTCTGGATTATCACATTAGGTTACTGTTTATGATTACATAATATAAGTTCTCATCTTCATTTATACTTGGAATAAAAAGTACTAAAATTAGGTGAAGACTTCGGTACTAGCAATAATCTATAAATTACAAAGATTTTAAAGATTACAGAAATATCCATTTGAGCTATTGTAAACATAAATATATCTATCTTTATTATGTAAGAATGATATTATTTCAACATCTTTACATCTGTCTATTAAACTATAGACTGTCAACAAGTACATAATATTAATTATGAATCATTATATACAGAATATATTATTGTCACTGTGCCCTAGGCTGGTCTAAGTATTGTATTACATTTGGAAGGATGACCTTGATATAATATCCTTCTTGTACAGTAACAGGGTCAATTATTCAGAGTTAAATCAAATACTAAACCATAGTTCTTAACCTATATATCTGAGGTTCCCACCTTTCTCAAGAAAAGATCCATTCCAAAAACAGATGTGAACCCTCAAAGTAAAACAAAGCTTCATGTTTTGCTGAATTTTAGGCTATTATAATAGGCATACATTGTTTTCATTGGCATTATAAATTATTGTTAAATATTTGACCACAAATTAGTGATAAATGTGATGTTTGCTTGTTTCGTAGTGACAATATTTGCATTGCTCTTTACCACCATTGTAGATTACATTCATTTCATAACCATAACAATTTTCAAAATGTTTTCAGACTAGTCTGTGACCCAAAGAAAAGTTATTTAACCCTTAGGTTGAGAACTCATTATATGACATACTAAACCCTGGTTTTTGACCTGAGATACTACTGATGTCTTTGGGTACCAGCAACCTTTCAGAAGGTGCTTGAAGAACTACTGAGAGAATTTTTAAAATGTACTACCATTAAACAAGCAATAGATAATTGAAACTTTCCAGAAGGATAAATTTTATGCTTTTTTGAAGGAGTATAAAAGCTGAAGGGTACAAGTACTCAACCAAGTTTTTTGGAACCGCTTAACATATGCTTTGAAATGAATCAAATTCAACTCATCTCTAGGAATGTCTTATAACATAACAAGACTGATTATGTGCAATGAGGCCACAGAGCGGTTTTGTTAACTAAAATCTCAAGTATTCCATAATTGGAAGAACTTTTAAAAGCCACACTTGAGAACCAGAGCTCCAAATAGTTCATAATGAAACACATTACACATTAAACTTAAATATCGTGAAATCCTATCAGTTATGGTGCCTACAAAGAATGTTGCAGATACTTGTATCAAGAACCTACATTAGACTGTCTTTAAAATCAAGAAATTCATTGTCATTACAGCACTTTGAGAATTTCTTAAAAAATTAGGAACCATTTCTCAAAAAAATCGAAGAAAATATTGAATGGTTCATTATGAAACATGCACATTCGTCATTCGATTGACTTCGATTTAAGATATGGAAAGTGCCTAATTGCAATGAGAAAAAAATTCTCAGAGACCTGTTACAAGTGATGTTTTTCAGCATTTAACCTTCTAGAACAGTGCTTCTCAACCTCTGTGAGATTATTCCTCCCCAAAAGAGTTCTTCCAAATCTATTCCTCCCGAAAATAAATTTCACTTGAAAAATATATTCAACAATTAACCATGAATGAACAAAAAAGAATACTCCACTTATCAAAATAGTTCAATGTGACCCTTGGATTTTTTGTTACTGGGGTGAATGATGTCAATTTCAGTCGTAGATCACTTTGCCTTCCATTTCCTCCCCCATCCAACTATTCCTTGCCGTTTTCCCCCTGGTCATCACCATGGTCTTCCAATTCCTTTCCTGTTGAGAAGCAATGTTCTGGAAAATATTCCAGTGCTGATCAAAATGTTCACCTCAAAAGCCAAAACTACAATGAAGGTCATAACATTTTGGTACAACATTTGATACAATGATGTAGGTATAAATGATTCAAAGGTAGTTTGAGCTTGTAAAGCAATCAGTAATTCAAAACAAATAACATTCCTTTCATATCTGAGGTGCATTGAAATCTTTTGACTTTATTTGAAAGCCTTGAAAGAAGAAACATCTTTGACCTTGCTTAATTTCAATTTCTATATGAAGGTCAACTTGACAGTAAGATGTATCCTTGAAATGTAAATGAATGGTGTAAATAAACCGTATTCATCTTAATAAAACAGTGATATGGGAGTAGATCTCTGACAATAATCAGCTTATGGCATACTAGATAAGATATATTGTAATTAACATCTTGGTATAAGAATTGAAGACATGTTTATCAGAAGAGACAATGTTTAAATACAGTTTGTTAATTACTTACTTAAAATATCACATTTAACTCTGAACTGAACTAATCTAAAGGAAATAACTCACAGTATTCTTAATGAAATGTGACCAGATGAAGAAATTTGACGAATAATCATGTCATGTCATATCAAATATTACTAGTATATGAAATATTACAAGAATACCTAGCTTAGTCATTTGCCATCTTGAACCATCCATGATAGCTACTAGTCCCCTTTTATATATGGCCGCTATTCGTACCTCGAGGGTACAAAAATGGGCATTAAAAAACACATGGCATATATCATTCTTCACAATCAAAATGGCTTCATGCTTTAAAAAAAACCCCTAAAACTAGTGCGCCTCATGTGTCCTATCTTATTCGTACCGTTGTAAGCAGCCATAGAGAACATGCAACATGCTGGTACAAATAGCCAGTGCGTTTGTATATACCTATTTGATTTTGTCAGCTTTTGGACTATGACATAAGGGTTACATGTCAATTCAATTCTGGAATAAGCATTTCACTTTCCAAATCAGCAAATGTTATAATATTTCATTCTGATTCAAGTACTGAAAGTCAGTCTGGCAAAAAAAAAACAGAACCTCAAAAGAGTTTCTACAGTAACAAGATCCAATGGAATACAAAGGACACATGCTACGTTGAGGATTTGCTATTTAAAGCTTTCTATGTCAGCCTCTTTAAAATTTGACATTTAACCCTAAAGGATTTGTTTATCACAAACTTTATGACCTAAGTATCTTGTAACTTATTCAAATTCAGCGTAAACTTTAATTATCCATGAACATAAATAGCATTGAGTAATGTGATCTGGTAGCTGATAGTATATCTTTCAGGGTTAACCCAATTCTACTATAGAAATAATGTTGATTTTGTATTCAGATTGATTACAGAGATTGGGCCGATTTTTTCTGTTGAAGAATGATCAAGGTTATCAGAAAACCATTTCATAATGTCTTTTCTTCAGATCAAAATAACTCCATTTAATCAAAGGACCATTCATATATTGCTTTAAAATCTTAAAAGGACAGATCCACTATTTTTTTTGGACAAATCAAACTTTATTTTCAGAATCAACCATTTTTTAGCCTAGCCAATCAGTAATATTGTTCACAGTTCACCATCACAATTTGAGCCTTCAAATGTATGTAGGTCCAGAAATATCCGTGTTTGAATGAAAGAATGATGACTGGTTAGCTGAACAAAACTTTAAGCGTGATTTTATTTTTGACCACCAAATGTCAATATCTAGATCCCTGGTTTCCAGCAAGGGTAGTGGTATTCTTTCAGGGTGCAGTAATGCACCTAATTTGATACCAGAGAAGCCTCCAAGGGATTATTTTTTTAATGTTTTGTTACATAATAACAATAATTACAATTTCTTTGTTGAATGTGTCAAAATGTCATACTTTTTGGTCCTGGTCTTAACCACAATGGCATCTTTGTAAGTCTTTTGTTTCTTCTGATGGACAAAAGGAACCAGGTATATAAAATATAAAGTTATGGGATGTCAAGAGTCAAAAAAGTTGAGAGCCAAGTTTCAAGAGAGGCACACAATATATCTAAATTTGTGTATGTATTATGCATTAGTTTTTTGTGACTATGATAAGTTTGTCTGTTGAATTTTACATACCGGTGCTGTATGTAGGTTATCATGTAATTTGTCTAAATGATTAGATAAACAGTGATGAGTAAGATCCAAATAAAAACATCTTATGGTTACTTTTATATTCACAGATATGATAACTAGCTCTGTAGAAATGTTTTATAGAATTGATTTTGTAGATATGAATTACATTGAATTAGGAAACCTCTTCGAGTGTCAAATAGTTTAATTGGAACCACATCGATCTAGAAAGGTTTGACTATCCTAGTTCATTTAAATATAATTACTTCTGCTTAATATTGTGTTCAGTTCAATGAAGACAAATCAACGGAATTTTTTTTTTAATGATGGGAACACAAAGAATTTTACTTCTCTTAAAGAAATGATTTCAGACATTTTTGAAAGTCAGGAAGTACCTTCAAAATAACATTGTTATAAATAACGTAAACAAAATAATCATTTAGACCAAACTTACAAATATATTTTTCAGGGAGGGGCCACAATTTTCTAAGAGGGAGAGAAGAGGCTGTGGGCCAGAAATTGGTTGAAATACTGGCTCACAGCTAGAGGGGGGCCAGGTGGTTCCAGCCCTTTTCCTCCCCCCCTTCCCACTCTCTTGCTGTGGGCCAGTTCTTCAACCAATTTCTGTAAGTGGTTGCCATACCATAAACAGATCACTCTAGAATGGCATGGAAATCTGTCTTGATAATTGGGACTCTGAGTTATTTACCAATCAGAAGAACCATTACAAGCTCTTTCATTTGAAAGAAAGATCAATCGTAGTCTCTGGATAAAAACTTTGTTGTCACACATGCTCGTTGTTAACATCATACGATACCATTTTATATCAAAAGGTCTTCCATAAAAATCTTCCAGATCTTAAAGATTCCAGTCAAACTATCTTTAATTCCACTTTTAGTTTTCTGTATATTAAAGAGATTGTAAAGAGGTTAAACTATAAGTATCACATTGATAAGTTTTCAAGAAAAAATTAAAAGGATTGATTGTAAAAGTGGTTTCTAAATTTGTATTGGGGACACTGATAGCATCAATTTGCACCATTCCAATATTCTTTCTGACATCAATGGTTTTGCAATTCCACTAAAACTAAGGCGTTTCATGTCACTAGAGGGGGGCTACTGAAAGCTACTCCTAATATCTATGAAGTTCCCCTCTTGTGTCAGTTTTAGTCAAAAAGATTAGAAACCTCTTTACAATCTCCTTTAATTGAGCCATTTTATACATGGTTTGACTGCTAGATCTTAGTGTGTTAATTCAATCAATTTTAATAGTAGGCTAGAGATAAAAGAATCAATTAATCATTTTCTTTTTTTCAAACATTTTTTTGTCACTGATCAATAGTCTGGGCATTCACATCAACTGTACCTTAACATATCAGACTGATATGTGGGTCATTGACCATCAATATATATTGGATTCTTATAGATACTTTATATATACATGTATTGATTAATCATTAGGTCCATTGACTATATACATCTATCTACCTATAGAAAAGTAAGAAAAGAGATCAATGAGATCCTGTCAATTAGAAATTAGGACACAAAACTCTACTTCATTTTGAACCTGATTATCAGATATAAAATGTAAATTTCCTTTCATTTTTAACAGGTCTATCAGAAATAAGATGTAAATTTCATTTCATTCTGAACCTGTCTATCTGGAATCATAAGTAAACTTAATTTCATTTTTAACAGGTCTATCAGAAATAAGATGTAAACTTCATTTTATTTTAAACCTAACAGATGGTTCTTGACCAACCAAGAAGAGATGAAGATGGAGGTGGTCTTTTCCAAATCATTTCTATTAGGAGGACAGTAAGATCATTTGCTTTTAAAACTTTAACCCTAAGAAGAACTGGAGCAAATGACACCATAAGATTCCAACTCTCCAACCTTTTGAGCAACAGTCTGTCCTCATGACATTTTCTCAAAGTGTAACTTGAAGTGCGAGTAGAGTAGTTTAAATGTGACATGTTATTATCTGATTGCAATAAGTATGAGCTTAAACATGTAGTTCTTCAATACAGAAAAGCAATTTGATGGATAGAGTTAAGTAATTAAATGGTCACGTTACTATTAAAGTTTAAGTAATGTTTATCATCTAGAAGAAGATTGACAACGTCTGTAAGCTTGATACATTGAAGATATCAGAAGGAATAATGACTGTTTTAATAGGAGATTATCAGGTTTAAAATACCAGTAAGGATGAGTTATATTTACTGAAATAACAAGATAATATACTCACCTCTGTTAGAGCATGTAATTGTCCTTCGTGAACACACACTCCCATAAATCTGAAAATATAATTAAATAGAATTACACAGGCAGACCAGGCTACTGTCTGGTTTAATAATGTAGATAATAGATCTATCTTATAATGATTGAGGAGTAGAAAATAATGAGAATTGGTACCAGTCCTTCACTCAAACTCAGAATTCTAACTAAGTGTAATTAAATGTTCAGCCTTTGACATTTTTGAAAGTCCAAAAACCAATGAAATTGTTTTGTCTACTGCATTCCAAATAGAGCTATTAAACCCCTTAGGATTTGGATATAAAGATTTGAAAGGATGTAGGCATCCAACCATTCTATAATGTAGGCATAAACAGACAGTACATCATTAGCTTTCTTGAAACTACAGTACTTGAACATAAAGTAGTTAGAACATCAAAAAACTAGTAAATGTCGAAAGTCATTGTCTACCTTTCATAGTATGTCATACAACAAAACAAACAATTTGTTAGCTTTCCGATAATTTACATTATTTTTACACTATCAAATACCAAGTTTCTCTTGAGATTCAGTATAATTGCTTCTAGTTTTTGTATGTGTATTGTGAATACTTATAGCCTCTATTTGCAACATTTGGATTTGAAGAAAATCATGATCAGATTATAAACAACACTACAGAAATATCATAGTTCATTTTGGGGGGAACCTATAAGCTTAAACGCCATGGTTCGCCATTGTCAGGGGTAGATTTGGGTCTGAATATCAGTAAAGAGTCTTCAGGAATACTTGAACTACATGAAAGTTGCATAATCCCTTTCATTAACATTCAAATGCAGATAATTCTGGACATACATGGATTTAAAGGCTCAAATATTAATGGTGAGCCGTGGAAACTATGGCGCCACTTCACTTATGTACCTCTTTATGATCTCAATTTTATAAAAAGGTACATAAGTGAAGTAGCACCCGAACGTTTCCCTTTGTGAGTATTGAAATGTAAACTTTATTTTAAATTGCTTACTTTAGAATATTAGGATGAGAGAGTCTATTCATTAACTGGACCTCACGTAACATATTAGATCTATTACTATCTAAAGTATTCATCTTTAATACCATAACTTGATCTGTAGTTCTATGTGTCACCTGAAATATATAAATATTCTGGGATTAGTGAGGTCATAGATCCTTTGTATCTAGAACAAAAATATTTTTACTACCGGAAAACAGCAAAAACAAATATATGTCCAATTCAGATCTTGAAAACACTTCAATTTACCTCACAAAACTTTAATTTTAACTGTACTCATTCGAGACAACTTAGGCACATACAAAATGGCTCCAAGAGAATTTGTTTTTGTTTTTTACCCGAGTTACAGATGTCCATTAAGAGTTCCATTTTAATGAGAGCCGATCTTTAACTTCACAGAGAAGTAAAATTATAAGTGGCATATCTCAAGGGTATATTACATATGAAGAATATAAGATAGAATCATTAGCTTCAGAATGAAATTTGAATATCTGTATAACTGTCTTGAATTAAAAAAATAAGTTTGTTTGAAGAGATCTTTCAATATTCTACTCCTACACAATATTTGAACACAATCAATCTATCACAGGTTAAAAAATTTCATATTCTTGAAATTACATAAGTAAGTAAGCTTACAGAATATGACAAGAATTTCTGTTATGTCAAGTTAACACTATCTATGTTAATATTGTCTATAAAAGAAACAGAATATCTATATTCTGGCACCTTCTTAAAAACTAATTTCATGCAGAATTAGGCTTCATGAACCACACTAAGACTAAAAGAGATTGTCAGAAGTTTTCAAAATTTTGTATGTGTATCCACCGATAGCAACAATTTGCACCATTCAAATTTTCAATCCTGAAATTCCACTTAAACTAAGCGTTTCACGACATTGCTTATCGCGAAGGGCCGACTATTTTTGCAATTAGTGATATCATAAAATGCTTCGTTTTAGTGAAATTGCAGTAGTGTATCACAGATGTCTGACTGAAATTTGGAATGGTGCAAATTGATGACATCAGTGTCCCTGATACACATACAAATATTAGAAGCCTCTTTTACAATCAATCCTTTTAATTTTTTCTTGAAAACTTATCAGTGTGAGACTTATATATTAATTAATAAATTAATACAGAATGTTGAGTACATAACCAGCCCTAATTAAAGGCCAGGGGATTGAAATCAGATAAGACAAGGTCAGTTTGACCAGTCAGGTGATTAAAAGACAAGAAATACTGCATAACACAGATCAATTAATCTATTTCTATCATCTTTTATTAACAATACCTTATTTACTTTCACTCAATATTGTCAAACTAAACACCTTCTCTTTATATAACTCAGACTTGACTAAATCAATTGATTATATAATTCTATATATAATTTCAAACTATTTCTGGCATATAAAATTCCTACCCCACACAGATTCTGTCTGTGGCAAATTGGATTGTCATTTGCTTGGCATTTAAGTTTTGTAGTTGCTCAAGTCCTCCCTTTCTTTTGCCCTTATCAGATAATCTAAAAAAAACCAAACCAACAACTACCATTCGATCAGAACGAATTTGGAAGAATGAAGAAGACCGAGTAATTCATGCGACACCATCCAGGGCCAAGTTTCACCGCCATGTCATTCAACCCGACCAGATCTCAAGAAGTATCAACAACCAAACCTCCTGTTGATTGCTCTGATGTCCTCTGAAATCAAACCATATAATCTAAGATAAGAAATATGTCTCCAATAGGCATATATGCAAAATTAGCAAAAAGGTTATGAAGTTTCATCAAGCACTCAAAAGTCAACAAATAAGTATCAGAAAAATTAAGATAGCATGTATATATGGTAATGTAACAGATGTACATGCTACTCTCTTCAATCTACTAAAGATGATGGCAAAGCTTTCTGCACTTCAGTGCAAAGAGTTCATGTAAAGAAAATAAAAACTGCGCATCAAATCCCATCTCTGTCAGTTTATCTTGACAGTTTGGCTACTTTTCATAAATCTTGATAGAAATAAACAGTAAAGTTTGGCCAGTATTGGTCAGTGTTATTTAAAAGAGTATTTGTTAAACTAGTCAAATATTAGTATATGAGTAAAGAGCCAGGCTAAATGCCATGGAAAGTGAAAAACATTGTAGAGATAACTATACAGAATCTCTGTTTAAAGGGATTGTAATGTGGTTTTCTACATTTTGTACCGGTATGTGTATCGGGGACACTCATAGCATCAAATTCCAATTTTCCATCAGCTATTCCACTAAAACTAAGTGTCAGATGACATCATTAAACGTGAAGGGTCTGATGTGATATTAGTACATTTTTAGTGATAACTGACTTCATCAAACACTTTGTTTTTGTGGAATTGTAAGAATCACAAATGTCTGAATAGAAATAGGAATGGTGTAAATTGTTGCTATCAGTGTCTCCATAGAAAACCTCTTTACAATCCCTTTAACTGACTTTCTCTTTCAACAATTTTTTATTTTTTTTTTACTTTTTTCTTTTACCAGATAACTTTAATTGGCCATGAAATAAAATTTTTATCAAACTTTGATATAAATTGGCTAGGTTATTGATTATTCTCAGGATTATTTGGGTTGAGTGAGATTCAATTTAATTCACACCAAAAAGGACTCTCATTGGAAATTATTATGCTATATCTGTTAAAAATTTGTCTGAAAATACCTCAAGCTGCAAATTGCTAGGGACTGATTCAGCAATCCATCTTAACATTTCCTGAATGTACTCTAGTGTCCCCACTAATTTATGGTCTTTGCCTGTATCTAGTTGATTTGATTCCATTTCAAATCTGTGTATCAAACCATATTTAAAGAATAGCAGTGATGTGAAACAGGCTAATTCTAAACCTAATTTACCAATCTTTTGTCCCTGTACTACAAAATGGTTATAACTTGAAATGATCCATGATCCATATCAACTAGGGGTATTTATAATAAACAATTAAAATTTCCTCAAACATAAGCAAATTTGTCAATTATATTAAGAACAACATTGGCACATTGACATCAAAAAAGCCTTTATTCTAATCTAGTTTAGATAAACTAAGCAAAGCAAATATCAAAATATGATGTAAAAATGTTCATGGGCAGCAAAAGTTTAGGTTTTCTTTATGTGAAATGTTGTAGCCATAATGATATGTGTACAGTGTTATTGCTCAGTTATCTGAGATGGGGTAATAAATTTCAAGTCAATGGTCCTTTAAAGGACAAAGTGCCTTTAATATGTTAATTTGACTTATAAGACCATTTTTCAATGTATTTTAAACATAGAATCATTTAAGTGTTTAGCAAGTTGGTAAATCATAAACCAGTACCCTGTACTCCTTTAATAATTATGCTAATTAAAAACTAGTCTTAATCTACCATATCATGAAATCTAATCAAAAGAAGTCTTGTTTTTATAAATTTTGGCCCCATTCTGTGATTATTCTGGCATGATGTCCAAACAAAAGAAACCAAAAACACCAGAAAGCTGAGGACCTTGAAACTGTATCTGTATTACATAATTCTTAATGGTTTTCCAGCTGGTTTCTCTGTGACATGAAGTGTCAGTTTCTATCCTACAGATTAGTGGTGCAGAAAGTTTAACAAAGAAATAAAAAGAAGATGTACATATTGTACTTATAATAATACATCATGAAAATCTAGGCCAGATGATAATATTACATGTCAAGTACTTTTGCTATCATTTTGTTTCATCTTATCTTGAATATTTCCTGAAGTACTTCAACATTCAACCTTTTCAATCCTGTTATCAAGGAATCAATTTCAAGTATTGTTTCCATTTTAATGTGTTAAAGAGAAGACTTAGCAATAAGGAGCATAATATAGGCGTTTATAAGCCCTTCGTTTTAAAAAAAGGATTTGCAGAAAAGCTGATATTCTGATCTTGACTAACACATAAAAACACCCTATGAACAACTTACTGGCAATCACTAATTAGTGTTTAGGTGTGAAAAGCTAAATTAAGGTTTGAATAACGCTATTAAAGTAAGGTTTGGAAAAGCTATCAAATTATGTTATGAATGACTTAATTAAGGTTTGGAAAACGAAATCAAAGTAAGGTTTGGATAACATTAGTAAAGTAAGGTTTGGAAAACGCTATCAAATCAAGATTTGGAAAATGATATTAAATTAAAGTACCATATGGAAAACCTTATCAACTTGAGGTTTGGAAAACATTATAAATTAAAGTTTGGAAAACGCTATTATATTAAGGTTTGGAATAGGTTATTTAATTAAAGTTTGGAAAGCCTTATCAAAGTAAAGTTTGGAAAACGCTATCATATTAAGGTTTGGAATAGGTTATTTAATTAATGTTTGGATAGCTTTATCAAATTTAAGTTTGAAAAGCCTTATCAATTTAAGGTTAGGAAAATGCAATCAAGCCAGTTGAAATATTTGACAGAGGGCGTTAAGCTGAGATATTGTGTTATAAAAAACAAAATAAATAGAGTTAGAAGATATTATGAAGAGGCATGTGGTACTGTTATAATAATAACAACCAGATTGGTAGAAAGTATATTATTAGAAACAAGTGGGAGAAGATGAGTGAAAAATCTCAAGTCTGATCAAACTAGATAGGTCATTGAAACATTATATCATAAATAATACAGGATTTGTCCTCTATTTGTCTCACTACTCTAATGTCCTTTATCAATTTAGTTCAAATTTAATTTCTATCTTAAATAACTCAAGGTCATTATCAAATACCAGGGCAATATACAAGGGCAATAGTGGAGGATGGTTTATAAAGAAAAAATTGATCCAATTTATCCTCGCCTACCTTTCTGTTGTAAAAGACTTATTAAAAAGTGTACCGGGTATCAAAGAGTTTCTTCCAAATTTCATAAAGCAAATAGAAGGTGGATGACAATAACACAAATACATTTAGATTCCAAATCAAGGGGCTAGTGCAAGATTCTCAACTAATTATCGTGACAAAAGATAATCAGGAAGACCTTGCATATTTTTTGCATACATGCTGTCTTTGGCATCAATTTCTTAAGAGTCAACATAGCTAATATTGGATATTTTGTATTTAATAGGATAACATGCCGGTACTTATTTTTTTTATATTATAAAGCTGAGAAACTCATATTTAGTATGAAAAACTATTTCATAAGCATCCCTTTAATCTATGTTTACTTAAAACTGACAATCTAGATCACATTAACATTATCAATAAATAAACATCAAGTTGATATGAAACAATTATTAACCACACCTTATGATAACCTAGAAAATTAGCCAGGTAGAGATATTCAATTTTCATACTGTTTGAATCTGTATTTCAGTGGCACAATGCCAATCCTAACAAATTAAGCATAGTTGAGACATATCCTGGTTGTCGGCCATAACTTCCCTGATAATTATAGGTGAAAATAAGAAAAAAAAGGCCTACAATTTTCAGTTGTCACCAATTTAATTCCATGCATAAGCTTACCTATGAAAAAATATACAAAAAAACTAATGAGAATTGTAATACTATACCTTGTAAACTTCAGAAAAAAATCCACTTCCAATCTTCTCACAGACGAAATCGTCAAGCCTAGTAAGCGCTGAAACAGCATATCTTAAAGCTTCACAAGTGGACTGTGGCGGTAGGTGGCTTAACTCAGGAGATGCCTCTCTGGATTTCTGAAGGTAAGTATTTTCATAATCATCCGTCACACAATCAAAGTAACTTCGTGGACGAGGAGCATCCAATGTAACTGTTCTACTCCTCCTTAAAGGGTTTTGGGTATTCATGTTTATCAACACTTCTGCTGTCATGCCGATTGTGGCTTATCTTGTTCTCTTCTCATTCAGGTCTGGTAGGTTTTCTTTATAAGATGTCCTTGAATATCATTTTGTATATAATATTTGGTTAATAACCTCTAAAATGCATTAACCTTCAATTCTCCAATGATTTTTAGAATTTTCCTGTATATATGGTCTCTGATTCCAGATCGGTTAAATTCTCAGCATTGTATGCCTACCTTTACCTTATTATAGTTGAGATTTTTATAGTTGCTGATTTATTATTCATTTATATGATGGTCTGTTGTCTAAAAGTTGGTACACTGCCACCAAGGTCTACCTAACCTACTTTTCACCAATTAATGATTGATTATGCCTGCTTGGTACTTAACCATTCAGCACATTATTACATTTTGCAGGAAAATTGTGGAGCACAACACTAAAAACCACATTTTATCCTTAAAACCACAAATTTAAATTTAAATGAAAATCGCTATATACAAGTTTAAGTCACATGTTTGATATTACATTTTAACAAGTATCAAGGATACACAATTGCCACTTTCTCTGTCGAAACATTTTCCTGTATTGACAGTTGTTCCTGCCAAGTCTATTTACTTCTTACTTGCTTTGGCCCAATGATGAGTATTGTGCATTCTGGGTAATTTTTAGCGAAAAATGTAGGTCAATCTTCCGAAAAAAAAAATTCTTCGTTCTTTAATTTCCTAATGGTGTCTCCTTTGAATTTTTATCTGGACATGTGACAATCCCAATAATCTACGAGTTTAGTTTTGGAAAGTTGTCAATTTATACGTAGATCAATTAATAAAACAGTATCTCTCTTCCTTATTTCATTCGACATTTCGCGCACCTTGCAGATTCGAGGTCAAGGTCGCTTTGGAATGCTGGGAAATGTTGTTCAAAATGGCAGCTACCTCGAAAGGAACCCATGCCTTGCCAAATGAAGAAAAAAAGGAGATAGAAGATACCTTTAATGAAGAAATTGAGATAAAAGTTGAATCTTCCGAGAGTGAAATTAATGGTGCTTATGAAAATGTCGAAAACCAACACAGTTTCTCTAGTAAAAGTCAATTTAACCGAGGGCGAAAAATACTTATCAAAAGTGTGCCGCCGAATTCAAAAAGAGAGGTGAGATTTTATCGTTTTTGCTTAAGATAATTAAACTTTTTAAAGATTTCTTTTGTCTCTTGACCGACTGAGGATGCTTCAATGCTCCAATGTCTTCAATGAATTAGGTTATGAATTCAATATTACGATGAATTGTGAATGGATTTTTGGTACCGGTAATTTGATAGAATATTATGTTGGTCGTGTTCAGCCTACTCAACTGCCACTACTGGTACCTATGTTCAGCATTATTATTAACCCTTTGAACCCTGAGTGTAAATCAAACATAATGTAGGCCTACCCTAAACTCCAAGTAATATTTAAAAGAGTTTGTATGACGTTAACACATTACAGTGTGATGTCACTTAGTAACAGCCGGTTTACCTGCTGCCTTGGCCTTGGTATATATTGTGTAACTGTAAGTGTGTGGCCAGTAAACCGGCAAAGTTTTTCTGTGGCTGTACAGTAGGTTATGGTCTATTTTTTTGATTGTATGATGACTTTTTTTGAATGAATACTGACGATTTTATGACCATGCCACATATCAGTAAAGCTTTAGGGGTAGACAGCAGATGGTACCAAAATCTATTATTAGGCCTAGATCTATATTCCATTGATTTTTCAAAACACAATATTTGTGCACTTTCTAGGACCTGGAAGAAACATTGAAAGAGTTTGATGTTAAGGATATCTCATTGTATACCAATTCTAAACAAGGTTCGTACTTTCTTTTGCTTAGACACTGACAGTCAAGGTATCTAAGTAATTAATGTCTGACTGACCAAAGCTGATATAATACAAACTTTATCCATAGTCTAAAGGCAGTAGTCTTTAGTGGAGTGTAAATTTTTAAAGATAATCCAATTAATAACAGACACTTTTGAACTGACTTCTGTTTGACACAAGTTTACTCAATCAAATAATATAATAATATTAGTTATTATAGGAATATGAATAAGTAATTATCAATTAACAAATCACTTGATTGCTTTGAAATTTGTCATGGCTGTAGCTTTCTGGCGTAAGTATTTGTCTCAGGGACTATTACAGTCTCTGTTTGCGCTACTGCAAATTGTAAAGACTAATCTGTGACTTCACTACTATATTCAGCAATTTTGATTTGATAAATTCAAATAGAAGCTATTTAGTTTTCTTGATATATATTAAAAAAGCTAGAAAATTTATTTCTAATTCCATTAGGAGTCTCATTTCTTTTTAATAATTTTGTATTTCAGCCATCATAACCCTTGAAAATGATATGGATCCAGATATAGCTGATATTGTTGTCTCAAAGTTAAAAGATTCAAAAGTTGGAGACAATGAATTAGAATTGAGTATCTTGCCATATTCAAATATTTTGGTTATTGCTCATCTTCCGAAATCAATGACTGATGATGGATTTAGAGACTTAGTTTCCAAGTATAAATCTGTAGAGAAATGTACATTGGTTTGTTTTGAAGAGACAGGTAAGAAAACATTGAAATATTTAGCACTGTTTATTGTTATTTCACTTGCTTTGAAGTATAGGATAATCTTCAATCATTTCAAGAGATACATTTGCATTACTTGTTGATGTAATATGATTCCTACTCATCACATTTCATCATGAAAATCTAGTACCAAAAATTTTACTGTAACTTTTGACAGTTTATCCAAAATAGAAGCCCTTGAATATTGTACATTGACTTAACTTTCATCACCTAATTACTGAAGAATTGGATGACATTCATTCAAGTTAGAAATGATTATATAGATTTGGTTGAGACTTTAATAAATTCAGTTTGAATAGTTAATATTTTTAGTTAAAGCACATGATATGTAATTATTGTAGGTAAAAGTTTACAATATGGTTTAGTATGGTTTAATGATAACAGAGAGAGGAACAGAATTAAAGAAGAATTAGACTGGAAGGATGTTGATGGTTGTCAACTACATGCTGATATTATTGAGAGTTGCAGTGACTATAATCAACTTATATCAAGATGCTTATTTATTGATAATTTACCTAAAACATTTAAAGAGGCTTATAAGTTAAGAGAAATATTTAATTGTGTGGCAAGTCCAGTTTATTGTCAGGTATGTTAAAGTTAAAATCACGATCTTCATACTATTTCATTTTGAAAAATTGTTGATAATACCATACTTACTGACGCGGAATATGCTGAATTTTGGTAAAAGATAAATTTGCCTCGTAATCAGTGCCAGTGATAAAGGCTAGCGCACACGAGAGCTCCCAGCTGAGCAAAATTGCATTTGTGTCTCCCAGCTCAGCTCGCAGCTTTCGTCGGTTTCCCCCGCACACGCTAAGCTTAGATCTTTCGTAAACGGGGTGTGGAGTCATGGACGTCTAAAAATAACTAGATCATGTGACATTCTCACGTGACTTAAACAAAATGTCGGACGTCGACATCCCTTCGAATGTTTCAGAATATGAAGAAATTTTACTTATTTTTTTGTTGTTGCGTCATCGCCGACGAAGAATACTTGCAAGCTCTCGTAAGCTACGGATATTTAGGCCATACGTCCACTAACTCGTCTTTGACAAATTCCTTCAGATAAAACTCGCTTTCATCGATGGTCGCAGTCATTTTTGTTTGATAACGAGCTAGCGCATGCGCCCCAGCTCCAAGTTGAAAGCTAAGAGCTTTCGAGTGCGCACGCGGTAAGGTATTTTTCATTCGAGGAAAAAATTATCAAACACGACGGATAATTTCCATAACGCCTCGAATGAAAAAAACCTTACGTAAACTCTGCTCACACGAGAGCTACGAGCTGAGCTGAGAGGCACAAATGAAATTTTGCTCAGCTGGGAGCTCTCGTGTGCACTAGCCTTTAGGACTACTTTTACACTATTATTTTAATACACACTTCTATGGTGAAAATATTTTTACATCTATCTTGATAATAAGTTCTTACTGAAATTCTTTATGTTATGCAAAAATATTTTCAATTAAAACAGATAATGAGAAAAGATAACGAATCGACCGGTTATGGGATAATAGAGTATAAACAGAGTTGGGAAGCTAAAGAAACCTGGTATAAACTACAAGAGTATGAATTAGATGGTGTCATTATTAATATAACATTCTGTATACCAACTAAGCCTGCTGTCACTATCTTTAACAGACTAATGAAGAAAATAGTAAGTTTTGTAAACGTGCAGGATTTATTCATATGTCAATCTCTGCTGTTTTTGCTTAAAAATGCTGATTAGAAACGTAGAACAAATTGATGATTCTATAGTCTTGGCTAATTGGCTAAAAATTGTGTTATGCATTACAATAGTAAATGTTAATATTTTTATGATAACAGCTATAATTGTTTGTAGGATAACAGAAATAAAGTAAAAGGAAGTTTATTACCAGACCCTGTTTTGCCTGTTACAATAAATAACCCACTTGTTAAAGGGTTGGCCAATCAGAATCCTGAATGTAAGTAGATTTTTATATTTAGTGCATGTGATGATGTAGCTAGCTGTACAGGCCTTGGCTGTAAAGCCTTGAGAAACATCAGAATGTTGACTAAAGATTTACTATGTTATTGTTCTTTCTTGCAGTAATGAAAAGTTTTATGCAGGTGTTACATCATCTACAATTATCACATTCTAAACCTACTAGTTCTTCAGCTAAACCAGGTAAATAGAATACATCACGATTTACTAACAAAATACTTTTTTTGCACTTGATTGAACTATTAATTAAAGACAGGCAATTTTGAACAATGTGCAAATGAAGGGAATTTCGTCCAGACAGCAGATTTTGTCTGCTTTTTTTAGTTTTCCATTTTAAATTGTCAAGGAAATCTTAAATGTGTAGAGTTAAGCAGACAGGGCAGTGATTATTTGACCATCTGATCTATGTCATCCCCTTGGAACCTCATAATGATTATAATAAGATTATTGGACAGAGAAAACAAATACTTAAAAGTTAACAAAAGTGTCACATTAGTGCCATATTTTTCTTCTTACAGGGATATTGGGACCAGCACCAATGCCAATGAATCCTGCAATGAATTCTAACACACAATTAGGATTGTTGATATTTTTAGCTACTCATTTGAACAACAACTTTAATCAACAAGTAAGTTTATTTCTTTAATGAGTTGCATCCATGTCTGTACATGAAGGATTTATTTCTCAGATACTTTTTAACATGCAAATAAGGATATCTCATGACCATCACAATGCTGTAAAGCATCTCAATATGATTGTTTTTATAGAATATTTCTAACAAGCTCCACAAGCAGTTTAGTATATTGGATATTTAGTATTTATGAATGACAAATACAAAAAAATCAATAGCTTGTTTAAGGCCGTGTCACATTCTTTTTTTTCTTCACATATTCAAAGAGTATTTTATATTTTCAGTTTACTGGACCATTATCAGCTCAGTTAAATCTACTACAAAAGCTAGGACAACAGAAGAATTCAAATGTAAGTCGAATCATTTTAATGTACCAATGCCTAAAAGGGATTGTAAAGAGGTTTCTAAAAAAAAAACACTCATAGCTTCATTTGCATCATTCTAAAACCTCCCTACCTTGTCTTAAAAAAACTTATTTTGTCATATGACTTTCATAATGTCTAAAACAATTAATTATTTGCTTATGTGAGCTATAATGTCATATCTGCTTTTTTATAGGATATGAAACTGGGTGATCCACTAACTGCTCAAGCCAATAATGTGATACAAACTTTAAAAGCTCAGGTGAAAGATAAAATGACTCCACCGTCTTTAATACCGTCTAAAGATCACCACCTACCACTGCAACAAATACTACAAAATACTCGCAACTTGAATCTTAATTTACTGATGAATTTAGGCCAAATAATGACAAATATTCAAAATAATAAAACAGAAAGTCTAATGTCAAAAAACATTCCTCCGCCAGGGATGTTCTCATCAGCTACCTTTAATACTAATAATAATAACTATCAACAACGTAAACCATATCACTTTATGCCAAAGAATGATCCACCACCACCTTTATTGTCAAACTATCAGTTTAATACTTCATCATCTTCACAACAGTTCCGTCAGCCACCAGCATTACTCTCAGATAGACAAAATACTGGTACAAGATCATTGTTAGATATTGGTTCAATGTCCAAACCGGTTCATCAGCCATCAAGACCTAAACCACTGTTAGACAATCAACCACCTAAACCATTACCATTATTAGGAGATTCAGGATATGGTTCACAACGACAGGGATTGAACAGTGCACCATCTTCATCGTTTACCTTTGGAGACTCAAGATATCAGCAGAAACCATCGCAATATGGAAATTTACAGTTTGATTCTGCCAACAAACCTTCTTCATTATTAGGCAATGTACCTGTAGACACCAACAGACAGCCTTCCTCCTTATTTGGCAACCTATCTGGGGATACAAACAGAAAGCCTTCTTCATTCTTAGGCAACTTGCCAGTGGACACTTCCAGGCAGCCTTCATCTTTAGGCAACTTGCCTTATGACAACAAGCCTACATCATTATTGGACAATCTCAATCATAATGTTCAAAATATGCCTAAACCATTAATGAGTGACCCAAAACCTCGACCATTGTTAGGTCAAATTGTACCCAACTCGACCTCATTATTAGGTGAACCACCCAGTGATTTTCCAACCAATCGAAATATCAATAGTGGTTGTTCTATATATAAACAATCTTATCCGAGTGATTCATCTACATCATCTTATGGTCAAAAGGGAAGTTACTCTGGTGGGCATGATTCAGGATGTTGGGTAAGTTATTCAATATTGTTTTTGACCAGTGTTGATATTTGGGTTGTGGAGATCTTTTCTAATCTTTATATGTGTCTTATATTGCTCTTCTAATTGTACAATTATTCTTAACTTCATTTAAATTCACTAATAAAAAACTCTTAGTCTTCAAGAAATTTCAAGGCCCTCTGACATCTGACTATAAATTAAGATGGTTAACATTGATGTTGATCTTTGCAGTTCTTAATAACCAGTTCATTTTTAACAAAAACAGAAAACTGTGACTTGTGTCTTGTATCTTCAGAACATAGATAATTAGTTTTATTGTCTGTATTTTTAGCCTGATACACCAGATGGTTTAAATGATGAAACATTTCAAGACATTCCAAATAAGGTAAGCTTCACAAGGATTAAACTGTTGATTTCTATTATTCTGCTACTGATTGTTCTACTGAAGACTGACACCACCATACAGTGTTCATTGGGGCAAATTTTGCCTTTTCTGCAACATTAGCCTACCCTTTTCTAGTCTAAATGGTCTTCAGACAACTGGACTGACCCTTATCACTGATGGGGGAAACTGTTCAGGAATAGAAAGCACAATCTCAATGCAAGTATTGAATCGCCATCAAATACTTATACAGATTATGCTCACCATATCACAAGCTAGGTGCTGGGATCTATAAGTGAAACGGTTTGACAGGTTCTATTAGCTACCTTACATTAGACAATACATGTAGTTGTGAATTCTAGGGTTTGATGTATCTATGTTGTTTCTTTGTAGTATTATCCAGAAGAACGGCAAGCTAAAATTCCTTCATTGTTGTCTTCATCACACAGTCACAATGTAAGTTTTCATATTCATAATATAAAGTAGTGTCAAAACAGAAGCTATTCATAATTTTTCCTACAGTTTTGTCAATTGCTAACAATTTCAAGCTACGATTACTTGTTTCTTTCTTTTGTAGAATATGAAAATATCTAGTCGTGGAAACTATAATTCTAGCACAAATCAATTTCAGGTGTGTATATCTATATTTGAGCCATGATGGCTGAGTAAAACAGCTAATGCAGTCATAGCTTTTATCAAAAATGATTTTTTATCCATGTTACCCTTTTGTTTTGGTTTATGTGTCGGTCTATAGGATAAGACGAAAAGAGTTTATGAAATGTGCCAAGGGAACAATTCATGCTTTAATTTGCATAGAAAAATATTCGGAATTTTATATATTGATATCATCTTTAACATCAGAAATTCAACAACAAATTTAATTAATCAAAGATGATTTTGATATTTTCTACAATCTTTTCATAGTGTTATCTTAAGTTATTGAACGTTTTATTTTTTCAGAATCCAAATGCGGCAGCTACTTATCCTAATAAGATTCCTAGTTTATTGTCTGCTAACAGTACATATAATACACAAAATGGTTTATTAGATACACCACGACAGTTTACTAGTATACACTCTAACAATGGTCTCTTATCAACACCATCTAATAACTATAATACAAGCAATTCTAATTCTTTAATACCTAACTTGATGAATTATGATAGTAATCAAAGTTTATCATTAACATCTAATAGAAACAATGATAGTAACTATCCTCAATCACTGATGTCAAGAACTAGTATGAGTACTAGTAGTAGTTTAGATGGTATTAGTCATTTTCAAAATGATTATGGTAGTAGTGTGGATTACTCCAACAGAAATTATACAAAAAATCCCCCCAGTCTCATGGTAAGTAAACTAAAACCTTAAACCATTATTACTGAATACGAAATATTAAGTGGCAACTAAACTATTAATTAAATAAATTTATGCATTAGGATTTGATATCAGCTATCCAGTTGATTATTTTTCTATTATCACATATATTGTATCTATGTACGACACTATGTTCTAAATTCTTACAGGACACTTTTATTTTGCTATAATAATGGACCTAACTTTCACCCATATAAAGAGAAGAGTCTATTATTATTATAGATACTGTATATTTCGAATATAAAAAGCGCAAGCTTATATAATGCTCACCCCTTATTACCCTTATATCTGGGAAAATCTTTGTCACCATAAACAAATAACCATAAAAACCATAAAAAATGGCTCAACAGACACCACATGATAGTGAGTGGTAATGTCGCTACACTATACATGTATCTTTTATATTGTATCAATAATATACCTATTGTGATTATTACAGGCAACTCCAGTTGGTCAGAAGAGATCATTTAGTCAGTTATTGCCAGCACCAGAACAAAGTCCAGAGGGTACATATGTTGGTCAACATTCTCAAGGGATTGGTGGTCATTACGCTGATTCTTATTCCAAACGTATGAAATTAGATCATAGATTTAGATAAGAGTTAATATGTATATTAATTGTTTGTATTATCATTGTAAATGGAGAACATTATTTATTATAACGTAAACATTTGTGCTAGTGAGCAACTACCGTATTATATATTTTTGTTAGAAATAATTTGGTTGAAGATGTGATTGATATGATAGGTTATGGAATAAATGAGTTGAATGGATAAAGATGTTAGCTAGTCATTAGGAATTAAATGTGCTTGGGTGAACTATTATCAGCATTAGTATATGAGATATGATCCTCTCAATTTATAGCTTGAAATCTTTTTAAGAGCTTAATTTTAGCTACCAGTATTGATCTTAAGCTCATAAGTTCAAATACCTGGGAACAATGAGTGCATCCTTTACATCCCTCTTTTCACAAAATATTGTATGATCATACTATATTAAAAGTGTGTAAATTAGAATGTAAATAATATTACTGAAGTCAAATCAAGATATTTTGTGAAAGGGGAATCAGATGCTAATGGACATGTGTAAAAGAATAATACATTATTGGTTGTGAAATTGTGATAATATTTTCTGTGAGATATTAGTTTTAAGAACTTACCTAGTTATTTTGATAAAATGCTCTAAATGATTATTAAATCATTGTTTGATTGTCTCAGTTAAAATTTGCCAAAGCATGGGTTTAACATATCAAAGGGGTAATAAGTCTGTCATTTTGAATAATAGAGGTAGGTATTTTTTATTTTCCGTCTACATGCAAATAAAGTATATTTTCTGAGAATTTTGCCTTATTTTTTTTCTTTATGATAGAATATTTTAACTATTTCTTTTAATTTTGGACAAGGTCTATTGTAAATATGATTTCTGTTATTTTTAAAGTTTTGTTTCAGCTGAAAGTTTAGGTTGGTATTGTATTAAAAAAAATTGTTATAAAATATAAATATATAGTAAACTTAAGTCTTTCAATGAAATGTTTATGAAGAGTTATTCAAAGCTTATTAAATATTGTGGAAGTGAGAGACATATATCAGTGAATACTTCAAAAAGTTCATGATTAACATTATATATTTTGTAATAATTACAAATATTTTCAAGACCGGCCTTATTGTAATTTTTGTAGTTGATCAAACGATTCATAAAATGAAACAAAAGTTTGTCCATGAATGAAAAATTAACATGATGTTATCTTTCTTTTCAAACATCCAGAAAAGGTAAACTTGTTTTTTGTCATCAAAAGGTCTGGCTTTTAGTAAAATTGAAAATAACCAATAACCAATATATAAGTTAGGATTAGGAACAACTACTTAAAACATGTATTTTGATTATTATGATATGCCAAATATGTGATTTGTTTTTATATTGCATCTTGTGTTAGATAAATTTCTCCTTATACTTTACTAAAGTCAAGCAGATATATTTTTGTACATAGAACTATTCAAAACATGAACAAAAGATCTATTTTGTGGTAGTTGAAATTACACATGATAGACTTTTGGCGTGTTAAAGGGATTGTAAAAAAGTTTTGTAAATTTCTTATGTGTATCAGGAACACTGAAAACATCAATTTGCACCATTCCTGTTTTCAATCAGAAGTCTGCGATTCCTGCATTTCCAATTATGTCACAAAGACCTTATTTGACAGAAGCAAATTTTGTGACATCATCAAACACTCAGTTTGCAGGAACCACTAACGTCTGAATGATCTGATTGAAAATTTAATGGTGCAAATTGATCCTATCAGTGCCCCCAATACACCAACAAAATTTAGAAAACTTCTTTACAATCGATTTAATTAGTACTTTATTTATTTTGAATGGAACAGACATGACTGCTCAAATATATTTGCTCGACTTTACATACTTTTTTCTCTTTCTTACTTTGTTTTAATTTTCAATTTTAATCTTTTATCATTCACCTTTTCTCTTGTCTTTATCTCCTATTATTACACTTTTTCCTTTGTTGATCACTTGTTGAAAATACAACACACAATTTCAATTTCTTGTCTTTCTTATTTTATGGTTTTCTTTGTAAATTTGTGAATCAGATTAAAGACAGTAAAGTCTTTATCAAATTATCCTGTTTTGTCTTTTTTAATTGAATTCATCATATCGCAAGGAATGCTTTACATTGATATTGATCATTGATTGATAAAGGGGTATCCATGCTCATTAAGGAGTAATATAATGACAAATTTGTTCTGTGGTAGTTTGAATGAATACCTTTAATTCCATTGTACATTGTGCCCGTATTACTCGAACCCGGGACCTCAAAGTTGTCATGCAAGTGCGCGAAGCACTAGGCTACCGAGACCTTAGGTTAGTGATGTTAAAAAAAAAAACCCTAGTTTTGAAAAACCAATTAGGGTTAGCTCAGGAAAGGGTTAAAGCTTGTTCCAAACTATGGTTTCCGCATATGAATTGAAAGAGCAGTTCGTTGCGCATCTTCTCAACACAAAATGGTCCGGAAAAAAAGAATAACCGTGGTTTAAATGGACCCCAATTCTCTAAACTTTGAACGTTTACTGTGGTCTGGCTGAGTCTTTTCTATTTTGGAGTTATCTGATCTTTGTTTACAAAGAAAATGGCGGCCTCTTAAAACAAGTTTCTACAGGTGAAACTCTGGAGAACATAAAAAATATTGGCTTATTTGTATTGTAATATGAATCAGAAATATCTAAATGACGTGAAAATCAACGTAAGTTGTTATTTTGTTCTGGTCATAATTTGATATCAAATTGATCTCAGGTTTTGGCCTGAGGTTTGCAGCCAGGTTGGCATTCATTCATTCATGATTCATCATCATCATACATCTCTCTCGGAGAAATTTCAATTAAAAAATGCCCCAATTTTCATATTTCAATTAGTTAAATGAGGTTTCTATCTATCTTATTTAGGGGTATATTATTTTCTACACTTTGTACCGTGGGTGTTATTCGTGCATACAAGCTTTCAACAACATAATTCTTTTTTTTAATTTATGTCTTAGATGTTTCTTCGGATATTCTATAAAATAATCAAATTTGGTTTGTTTTGATTTTCTTTATGAATCCCTCACCTTTTATTTTTAATATCAAGTCATTATAATTTATGACAATTCCTTCAAAGAACAATGATTTTTATACGCCCACATCTCTCCATGTGGACGTATATTGTCGGCACCCCTGTCCGTCCGTCCGTACATTTGCTTGTAAAAGCTCTAAAAACTAGAGTTTTTGATGGAAATTCGGTATGTGTATACATATTCATAAACGAAGATTAAGTTCGAATTTGAGCTATTTTCGACAGTTAGAAGCAAAGTTATTGCCCTCACCCCAAAATCTTGAATATGCTATAACTCTCTTATTTTTCAACCGATTTTGATGAAACTTAAAATGGATGTTATTGGACCTAAATCAAAAGGTTTGAGAAAGTTTAGTTTACTTCTGATTAAATTTAAGGCTTTTTTTTTTTTAACCTCTATGCAGTAAGTGCTTTTATCAACATCAATTGCTCGTAAACACGTCCGTCCGTCCGCCATCAGTCAACATTTGCTTATAAACGCTCTAAAAACAAGATTTTTTGATGGAATCAAATGAAATGACATGTTCATAAAATGAAGATCAAATTCGAATTTGAGCTATTTTCGACCTTTAGAAGCAGAGTTATTGCCATTGCCCCAAAATCTTGAATATTTAGAATTACAATTACAGCTGGGATTATAAGGAAATTTGGCCGATAAATTTTTTTTGATAATAACTGAAATCCGCCATTTTATTTATGTTAGAAATAATTAATAAATTTGACATTGCTTTGAAACGATAGAAAAAATTCTGCAGATTGACTTTGTAGAGATAACCCATGTTTATCAAAACATGCAAATGCAGAGGTCACACAGGTCACAAATGTAAATTATTTATCATTTCCTGAGATGCACGAAATTAGGTTACTTGACTGTACTGTACTAGTAAACAAGTTATATGGTCAAATTGTAAACTTCATTCAGTAATAATACCACGTCAGTAATTATTAACATGCTAGGTGGCCCCAAAAATCAATTATGAGGCTAATGGTGAAATTTTGAGGTTTATTTTTTTTTTTTTTTTGCAGATTTGAAATGAAGGTTGAGTTGGAGGTTTTAGCTTACACAAGCATCAGAAGGAAGAAACCTTGGCCAAGATTGTTATGGATCGGAAAGGTCAGGAGTTAGTTTTTATGATGCTCCAAAATTATTTCAATAACATGTACATTTCATGCTGGGTAAACAACTATGGCTTTCAAATGTATATTTTTTTTTATCGTAGGAAAAAGAAAGTCTGTTATTATTAGATGAAAATAGAGTTGGTGTGCTATATCTACCATCTGGTAAAACCAAAAGACAAATACCCAAATTGTCTCCTTTGATTGAAGAATGCCTCACACTTTCATCAACACCAAATGGTAAGCTTATACTGCTGTATGAAATAAGGTTGGTTGGTAGGTGACAAATTAATGTTCGCTTCCAGCGGATGCTGATATCGCAAACTAGGTAGTTGTTGGTAGTCGTAGTATTTGGTGGTTGGCTTGGTTCAAATTGGATGATTCTGTGTTGTTGCTTTGGTTGTTGATACTTCATGGGATATGGTCAGGTCGAATGACATGTCGGTGCAACTCGGCCCTGGATGGTGTGGTGTGAGTTACTCTTTCCCCATCATTCTTACAAACTCGTGCATACAAGCTTTCAACAACATAATTGATACAAGAAAAACAATATCTGGTTTAATATAAATATTGTTAAATCGTGATGGCTTGTACATCTTTGTGGTCAAGTACTTGATCACAGCCACATAGTCTGTCCATTTAATACTCATATACTTGTGTACATGTATTTGTTAAACAGGTTGTCCATCGAGGTATTGTGTATTTTGGGGGTTTTTTTCTCATTCATTCATTCATTATATTGTCCCCATGGGCTGAATGTTAGACAGGACCATGTCCTTGTGTATTAGGCCTAATGCTGGCCCATGTAAAATAAAGTGTTTATTATTATTATTATTTAAATGTTTCAGGATGTTATTTAGTTGGTTTGTTGAAGTCGGGAGATATATTTATATGGTATAAAGATAAAGATATAATAAAAACAATATCTGGTTTATCCCAACTATTGCCATTAACAACTCTATTAACAGGTATAATATCTTTATTAAGATATCTTTTTACAATTTTTCTATTTAGTAAAGTTGTTTATATTTTGCATATGTGAGGATGAAATTCAGTCCATATACCATAAAAGTATTCAGCATATAAAGCCATTTTTATGGGTTCTCCAAACAAAATTAGATTTTTTGTTGTTAATTTTGTAGTCATAACATTTATCTATTCATATAACAACTTTATATCAGCCAGTAGTGACTGACTAGTATTTTAATGCCATTATATTTTACTGTAGAGAGTTGTAAAGTTTATAGTTGTAATGATGGTAGTAAACTATTATTAGTTGTTGGTACTGATAGATACTTTGTTTGGAAGCAACATATACAATGTCAGGATTCAGGACCAATACTATCTGGTGATTGGATCTCTGTAATAGTTCCTGTCAATGTTCCATTACCAACATCTGATTGTCTGGAAACATCAACAAATGGAACATTCTATGAGAGTCAGGTAAATTTATTTTTTTCCCCTCTCAGTGACCTTTAACTTGAAACCTGTTATGGCTTATACCCAATATTGCAAAATCTAGCATCAGATGCCAGTACTCACCAATAGCCTAAGGTATACAGTTGTCTAGTCGTTTTTTTTAAGATTTATTTTAGCTTATACTACCACCTTTCAAAATTGAAATAAAGGAAATCATTGTGTGTACTTGCTTGAATGTTATTTGGTTTTGTAGCTGAAAGTCAGTTCTATCAGCTGGTAGCTAGTTCAACAACAGTATCCCTTCCAGTGTCTTCAATTTAGCTAAATTATGATACAAATATTATAATTTCAGTGATCAAGGGATATTATGTAAGGGCTATTTATACTTGGATGTGAAAAACTTGCAAATAATACCCTTTTGTTTCAAACTTGGGCTCTATAATTTAATTCTATACTAAGTTATTTCTTTAGTAAATATTTCTTTTAGATTTGTGGAAGTTGTTGTCAGTGGTCTGTTGTATTTAATCATGGAAATTCAGTTTGTGTCCGTACATTACTACTTCGATTTCCTTCTCCACATGAACTCTTATCAGAAAAGTAAGTTACAATCCTGAAATATCTTTTCCTTGTAATAAACCATTGCTATGCAGTATTATAGAAGGTATCTGGAAGTGTAACCACCATTTAATCCAGGCAACTCTTTTGATTCAATTTAAGCATCGCAAATTTACATGAATTGTTGGTACAACTTGCAGGTTCTCCTACAAGGGAGATTTATTAGACTTTATAAATAAACAGCACATATGAAAATTTTCGTCATTGCTTAATGCATGGATTAGCCCGTCTTTATTAGCCGAATCAACAGCATAAAAGTACAACATAACTGCATTTCATTTTAAGTTTGAAACACATGTTAAAAAGTGATTGTAAGAATTTGTTTTCTTTTACAGTTGTCCAACTGTTCATATAGAATGGTGCTGCTTACAATACAGTATAGATAAAATCAACAAAAACTGTGAAATTGTCAATAGTAGAGGAGCTTATCAGTCATCTTATTCAAATGATGGTCAAATCCTAGCTATAGCAGTAAATCAACGAAGTCCTGCTTATTCTGCTATGTTATTTATCTCCCCTTTAACTGATACTTTATTAGTTTCACAATTACATGGTTGTGGTCTGAAGCAACCTGAAACAAGACATGGAAGGTAAGGTTTGACGATATTGGAATTCTGCTATTTGAATCCTTTGCTTCCACCATTGATGGTTTTTTTGTAATCTTCTTTCGACGTCTTAACTCTTTTACCCTAATTTCTGGCACTTTTATGCTAATCAAAAGATAAAACTGAAAGGTCTCATGAAGTGAACAGTTTACAGTTCAAAAGTCAAGACATAACACAAACACAAATATAAACTATATGCATAGGGAATATAATTGTTCAAATAGACATTTGGAAATGAAAAAAACTGAATTTCCCTCATTGCATACTGCATAGCATTTCACATCATGAGCATCAAAATAAGATTACAATTCAGGGTGATTAGTTTTACCTGACATTTTAAATTTGTTTTAGAAATCTCGAATATTGTATTCGGTAAATATGTCTTTTGCACTCAGTTACTATCACAACACTTATTGTTTAAAGCACTTGTTAAGATTTGTGTCCAATTAAATATCATTTTGAATTTAGTTTTATACAAAGGGCACAGTATTATATGTAAAATACTGTTTGTTATTAAGAGACATTATTTTTCGGTTTTAATAATGATGACACTTAATGATATTTCGTTGGACATTCTAATTATGAAATGTTCATTGTTATTTTGAAGAATTTCAATTATTTTTTTTTTTCATCACAAATTGATTAAAGTGCAAAAATATAACACACATATTATACATGTATAATCAGAAGTCTGTTACCTTCATAATGATATAAAATAAATTACAGTAGATGAAAGTTTTTAATATCTTACATATTGATAGCATCAATTTGCACCATTCCAATTTACAATCAGACTTCTGTGGTTCCTGCAATTCCACAAAAACTAAGTGTTTGATGACATCACTAATCGCGAAAGCCTTATGTGATACAAGCAAATATTGCAGTTAGTGACGTCATCAAACATTATTTTTTTTTAATTGCAGGAACCACATACAAAATTTAGAAAACCTCTTTACAATCTCTTAAAATGAAGGCAAAACAGAGCTACTATCTTTGATATCTTCATATCTTATTATCTGTAAATATAGATATGTATCAACTAACTTGAGTGTCTGTTTTTGATCATTAATGATGAATTATTAATTTTCTTATGTATGTAATATATTTCAGACAATATTGGGTAAAAGATATGGTATGGACAGTTGATAATTTGTTTGTAGCCTGTATTTTGAATAATGGTAGTGTAACAGTATTATCAAGATTAGGAGAACCAGTTGTAATACATATTGCTGGCTGTTCTATAGATATAGGTCCTAATTATTATTTACCATTGCATCCTTTAGTACATATACAGTAAGTTGTTCTTTTAGGACATGAATACAATGATTTGATACAAGATTTGATACAATGATTTGATACAATGATGAGATTTTGATACAATTGATACTATGAACATTTTTTATTTCAGAAATGATAATGGAACTCTTAGTGATGTTTTATCAAGAGAAAATGACCCTTTGTCTCAAAAGTATTCGGTGACATCACATCCTGTATTACCTATTATACTATTCTCAGATGGTTTTACTGTCACGGCCGTCCAATTACCAGCTGAATTAACTTTTACATCATATATGAGAAACTTGATATTGGAATCTACAAAACATTTGGAATTTTTAAAGACCCATGGAAATCTAAACATGACGCTTGTCAATGCTTACAATTTTTCAAATCTTCAGTCAACTAGAAATGGCGGGAAAATTGCTTTGAGAACTTCTACTCAAGATCGTCTGAAGAAATTTTTAAAGAATTTAGAAGTTACATCTAATACTTTAAATGAATCTGATGTTAGTGAATTAAGTTTATTATTAGATGAAGAATATCAATATGGCCAGGATGTGTCGTCTGGTAAACTCCTGTTTGGAGAAGATGAAGACCACCTCAGTCAACTTCATCAAACACTGGAATCATCTGACGATAATCAGAAAGTCCTCAAACACTTTCATTCTGCACGCTCTAATCTTTTTTCTGTTTGGAAATTAGCAGCAACTTCAACAGAAAACTGGACGTCCAATATGGAAACCATTGTTAAACATGCAGTGAAGAATATTTATAAAATGTTTACCCTGATGATAAACAATGAAGACGTAACAAATGTGTTGTCTGCTTCAAATTCCTCCGTCCAAAATGGCTGCCTTGTATATATAATATCTATGTACAGACAATTGTTAGATATTTTACGGTTTGATAGTTTAGAGCAACATCTATTACCATCAACATTACAACTAACACATAAAACTATTCACTTTATATTAAATAATAAAATAATTAACAACTGTGACCCTAGATTAAAAACATTGTCAGGATGTTACATGTTATTAAAATTTACTGAGAAAGTTTTAAATCGGAATTATATCTGGTTACCACAGAATCTAGTAGAGAAGGGAATATCACCTCGATCGTTATTACAGAGGGCAGATCAACATCAGCCTACAGTAGACAAATATAATGATCAATTACAGCTACCGTCCAATCAGCTTTCGGCTAAAAGGTATGAAAGGGTATGGGTTTCATAAAGTATCCATTGTTGTTCAAAAGGACAAAACATTTTGCGTATGAAGATTCTATGACTGTTGCCAAAAGAAATAGATGTGCAATTAAGTGAGAAACCCCAAGTAGCGCTAATCATATGTTAAGCCTATGTGTAGCTATGGTTAGTTTTAATTACTGAATAATGTTTTATACTGATTTTACAAATGTGGCAAATGAAATTTCTTTTCTTTGCCCACTGCAAAGTTTCTTTCTGCGTTGACAGAAAAGAAAGATATAAAATTCCAATTCTTCTACTATCCACATGTGGACAGTTTTGAATTTATGTCACTTGTTCTTGCTATTGGAGGTAGTTTTGGTGATTTGTTGCTATTGTTTTCTATTGTAGGCTAACTGCTACATGGAAGATACTCTATGAAGCCTTATTAGAATTCAGACGAGACCAAACTATTAGTGAAGCTGATGTTCAACAATCTCAGTTATTGGTCAACGCTATAAAACAAACGCTAGATATGGTAGAAACTGATTTACCCAGTAAACCAAAGAAAGTAAACCCTGGTGAGTTATTGGTAGATATTGAATCCATGTCTATCCATCGTATGTCTGTTTACTATTAATCGCCAATGCACAAGAATCTACTTAAGTTTTCAACTGATTTTCATACCATTTGTTGTTTTTGAAAATTTGTGAAATTCATTGATTTTGAATGAAAGTCAAGACATATTGTTATTTTATATCAATAGGAGATGTGTTTAGTTTAGATGGGCAGTATACACAAGCTTTAGATGTTTGGTTACAACAGTACAGAAATCTACATGGTATGGACCTTTTGTAATGTTTTATCTTTCTGGCTTCTCAAAAAACTGAAAAAAGTCAAAGTTCATGAAGAAAAATTCTCATAGTCACAGTTAGTAACTGATCTGAAAAAATCTTAATATTTGTGCTTTATGCATTGATATTACAAAGTAGTTATTCATACTTATTTATCTAAGATTGTTTATGTAAACTTAGTCAGCTAATCATTATTTGTCAATTTTGAAACCAATGTTTTTCATTTGAGCACTGAAACTTTTTTTCCAAAGATGAAAAATTTTTGCCAATGTAATGTTTGTTTTATAAAAGAACAGTCCTGCTACAGCATAGGGTCACATGTTCAATTATTTTTTGCACTTCAAATAGACCTATCTTCATTAGCCCACATGCTGCAGAAAAAAAGGGTGTAAAACTCCATTAATTTCATTTCAAATATAGACATTGAGAGATATTTTAAAAGCATGTGGAAGATGACATTGTAATATTATTTAATTTGCAGGTAAAGATGGCTTTAGTAAAGCAGCTAAACTACTTCATTCTTTACTCTATACATTTTTATTACGTGGAGAGTTATTAATGGCGGTAGATTTTCTTGATGAACTAGTTGTTAAAGCCAATAGTAATAGTACTATAAATCCTTCCCAAGCTCGTTTACCATTAATGACTTTAATTACAACAACATTAAGATCTCAGGTAATTTTATTTTATCAGAAGAATTTATTTTTTATATAAGCCCAGATGAATTTTATCATTAAATTTTCCATCAGTTCTTCTGTTCACACTGCACACAAATTCTTCAGGCTATAATAATTTTCTGATTTTTTTTCTTTCACAAAGGATCGTGATTACTAATCCTGGCATGTGTCCTGCGAAAATCAGGCTATGTGTTAAATGCAGGACTCATTCCAGGCTGTCCAGCGGCCCTAAAATTCTTTAAAAATAACTTTTTTTTACAGTTTTGCTCAAATTTCTGTTGAAAAATTGTTCAAATCAAGGAGAAATTCTAAAAAAAAGCCTGCTTTTTATGTCAATGCCTATTTTCGTTTTTACTTTCTACTGGAGGAGCAATTAATGTACCTGCTGTTTGGAATGGCCTAAGATACAAGCGAATAAAACCCCAATTTTTTGTATTTTGTAAGTGTCAAATATGAAGTAATGCATAAAGATGTCTAAAACTGATTGGATTTAATTATGAAATTTAAGCCCTAAATTTCTAATGTTAGCGCTAAAATTATCAGCGCAATGAGTGCTGGACATATAACATTTTATATTTAACTTTAATTCATTATGCATGATATAGATTTACCTCTTGTACATAACTTAGATCAATTTTCATTTGTAGACCAGTAAGATGTATGATAAAGTACCATGTATAAAAGATAAAGGTGTAAGACAAGTTGTACAAACTATGGCTAGGTTTATGGCATTATATTTCTCAAATCAGTCATTATACATCTTTCCACCTCATAATCCACAAGCCTTACCAACAGTACATTATAAAACACCAGTTGTTAGTGAGTAAATTATTCTAAAATAATTCTAAGATAATCTGAGAAAAATCAATGGCAGGAGATTTGCCTGAGAACCAGCTGGTAGAAATCATCCTTTGTGAACCTAAATTGTTATCCTTGTGAAATAGGGATGTTTCTTTTTCTATCTTTCTGGCTTTCAAATCCTCACTAATAATTTGTTTCCTGTTATTTTTCAGATAACCGTATAATACCCCAATATCCAGAAGAACTAACACAGATAATACGTAATGATAATTTGAGTGATATTTGGACTGTAGAAAGAACGTTGGAATACTTGTTGTTATCTGGATTAGTATGTGAAGCTACATGGTTTGCTGATAAGATGGGAGATTGGAAAGCAGCTTTTTTACTGTCTGTTGCTTGTGAACAACATAAACAAACTGCTGTATCGCTATATTCCAAGTATGTAGGTTTGTCAAAATCTCGTAATCCCAGATTGCTCATCAAGGGGCTGCTCGATTGCTGAGTTCAGCACGTTCGGGATTCATGGAATATACCGACCATTCAATAAAACAAGATGGAGTCCAGAATGCGTTCAACATGTGCCGAAAATTAGTAGGTTCAGGCAGAATTCAAAAAAACGGAAAAAATTTTGAATGTGACCTAATCTGCTTCTTTTACGTTCATTTGAGACTGGAATCGGCACTAGAGGAACCAATCAAGCACCATCCATGAGACATGTTCTTGCTAACTTAAAGGTCTGGGGTTGCATCCCCAAGAAATCCCTCTTTAAGGTGTTGTTGAGTTTTACACAAAAATGCCCAGATACTCAATTTTATTTCACATGTCCATCTGCCCCTTGTCTAATTCAAGGCTGTGGTGTTTTTAACAGATTATGTTTTTATTCTAGATCCAGAAAGCCACTTAATTTACCTGATGAGTTAAAACCAGTGATTATATTACAGAAAAGATTAAGTTTGATGTTAGGTATACAAGATAGAAATTGGGATAGTGGTAAGTATAGTAGGTTGTTTATGGTCAATATCTTCATGTGCCTGATGTTCTTGTTAATGTGTAAAAGATAAAATGGAGGCAAATCCCATATTGTAGATGGCAAAATAAGACACATTTTAAGCTTGGATGGATATGCGTTTTAAGGACCATGTAGGCTTCAGGCATGAAACTATTGTACTTTGGGATTTTGTCCTTAAAAGTGAAATTGGAAAGTGGACATAAGTGTATTTTTGCAATGCAATGATGTCCTCTTGAATGTTCGTCAAATTAACCTTTTGATATATGATGTGATTTTGTAGAAGCAATAGATCTCAGTAATGAAGAAGATAAAGAGAAATTAAGTGAGAATATTAAAGAGTTATTAACAGCTGGTATAATGTGTAAAGTAGAAGTAGCACCATGGTTATTATCAATACTAGTTAAACAATTAAAAACATTAATTAGTAAATTACATCCACAAGTACCCAGTGATTTCTATTTACCATCACCACCATTATATTGTCCACAACCTACACCAAGCCGTCAGGTCAGTTGTTTTATGTATTGTATTTTGCATGTCAATTTATTAAAGGCCTTATTTGCAATCATGTCTTCTGTAAAGAATGCCATAGGCACAACATTTTAGATTTTATTTTTATGGATACTACAAGTTAGTGAACAAATCCACGTCTTAATTTTACATTGTCCATTGAAATTCCATGAAATATTTTGTGACTTCTGGCGGAATTGATCAGGCACAAATTCATTACGAGACATTCTTTAGTAGAGAGATATGTGTTTTGATATCATTCTATTGCGTTTTCAGAATTCAAAACCACCCAGTGTAGAGAAGGAAGAGAGGTTAAGAGAGAAAATAAGTCTATTAATACATATCATATTGTCTGTATTTAATGGTTCTCATTTATCTTTACCTTGTATGACATGGTATACACAACAATTATTACATATACAACAAAAAGCTCAACAATTTCGGGTATGTTATTATCATTAAAACCCCACAATACTAAACTCCAGTTTTTTCAAAAAAATTCTCTTAAGAAGAAATGGTTGGATAATTTAGGGGCCCTCATGCCATAGTGATCACCAGTTGTGTATGGTTGTGGTAAGAATCACCGTCATAAGTTTCAATACAACTCTCATGCAACTGAGTTGTGAGTGGCATTCAGTACTTATTATCACTTTCATTATTTGAATCATATGCAGCTGAAAATGGCTATGTTGTGAGGGCAATGTCTGAAATTTTCCATGTTTTTTTTATATTCTCTAGGCTAATACTGAAGGACCATGTTTAGAAGTACCAAGCATTCTGGAGCAGTATTTATTATATACATCACACTTAACCCAATATAAAGATCATTATTCAACTAGAGTTACCTTATCCTTATTCCGTGATTTTACATCATTATTATGGTTATTGCACGTACGAGATAAGCTGTCACTAAAACTACGACAAAAAGAGAAATTCTTGAATCAAATTTCATCACCTTACATCCAGGTACTGGTATTATATTTTATCTTGGCTTTATCTATCTAGACAGTAATTTTGTATTGCTCTGCATGTTCAAATTATTAAGATAGAGTGGTTTTTGACAGAGAACTTCTGCATCCGACACAATCTGAATTTTACAATGACTGCTGTCAACTGGCAGTATCTGGGAAATTTTGATATATTGCTGCAATAAGTTGACCTGAGGACACTTACTACTGATTAAGTAACAGCCAGTTGCTCCAGTTCTACTTACTAGCCTGGACCTAAATGCTTGGTATCTGCCACCATCCACTTGATACCAGTTACTAGGAGTTAGTTCTAAGCTATTAGAGCCTAACTAATAAATTACAAAAAGAAGATGACTCACTAAAAATTGTTAGTTCAAATTAAAAGTTGTTCAATTTGGAATGAAATGTGAAAACTTAAAGTAGCCATGTTTTTTATGAATCTTTCAGAATGAAATTGACGATAGTCAAGAAAAATGGCTTCAAGAAATTTTCACAACTTTACAATGGGCTGTCCATCTGCTAACCTTCAGTCATTACCTACCTGATACTCTTTCTATATACAAAATAGTCTTGTCACTATTGTTGGAGTTACCTCCCTCTGAAGAAACAGCAGACATTCTTGCTGAACATTTTTATGACATTGAAAATTTGGATCCAGAAATACAAGAAAAATTGCAAAAAATATTAGGTGAATGGGAAGCTATTATTGTTACACCTGAAAATGATGGGAAGTCTGCTAAAGATCAGATGGATGACAGTAATACTGATGTTCGAAAATCTGTTACATTTTATGGTGCATCACCGCGTGGGAAATCCTTATCTACATACTTCAGTAAACAATGTCATTCTGTAACAAAAGTTTTGAAGAAGAAAGCCAAGAAATATGGTAGTTTTGAAGAGTTTATTTTTATTAATATAAATGAAGCTGATGATATAGATCTAAATATTGGATCTCGACAGTTCGAAACAAAACAGTCTTATTTTGAGTTCTTGGATACATTTGCAGCAGTAAGTTTTGAAAAATTGTTGGAATTAGAAAGAAATGTAACAAGGCCCAGAGATTTACCCCTTTTAGGAACATTTGCTGATGCTATCATAAGTAAAGAATTGGCTGTATTCTCAGAAAGAGGATTTCAAAGTGCCGAAAAGAAGAAATATGCCTTGGTTGTTTTGTCTTCGATGAGAAGTTCCTGTCGATCTTCTCCAGCCTTTGCTAGAAGTGACAGTATCATTACCCAGAGGTACAACTCTAATTTAACTCTAGATCAACAGTCTCCCCAACCTAAATCTCAAGGTTTATTTAGGAGTAAGAGTGTAGTTGAAGGAAAGAATAATAAAGACAGTCCCGTTAAAAGATATCACAGTGAAGGGGGAGGCTTAGATGTTATCGTTGAAGATTCCCCGGCAAAATCTGTCTTTTCTCCTCGATCTCAGAAAAGCATCAGTCAACATAATGTTTCAAACATGGCTTCCAAGTTCTCTCAGTCTGAAGATGCACTGTACAAACCAGAGATTGATGACAAACATTCCTGGAGTTTAGATGTAAATTTTGGCAGAAAATACAGACTGCTGCAATTATTGTTAGAATGGCTTGAAGTCTGGTGTGGAAAAAATCATAACTTCTCTCTTGGTGTCTATGATTTGCATCCCACAATCAAGATACAGATTCCCGCCCAACTGATATTGCTGTCGCTATGGTTACTGGAGTATAAATACTATCCTGATAAAACTGGTATTCAAGACGTAGGTGAGGGTTTTATTGGTGAAACAAAACTAAATAAAAAAAGAACCCAGAAGAAAAAGGGAAAGGAAACACTGCAGACAGAGTCAAATCAGCCAATCAGAAAGAGTCAAGAAGATGGTGCTAAGTTATCTACCTTGGAAGAAGAGGGAATTAGAAATGCCTATCAACATTTCTTAGATGGGTGTGTACTATATTTTTTTAATCCACATTACATTACTACTGATATTACACTGATCACAATTCTGTGAGAAAATACGTATTTATTGGCACCTATTCATAATTTTCTGATATAAAACATCTTTGATGTATATTTTGAAAAGCTGATTTGACTGTATTTATTGTTTGTGTTACAGAGAGAAAAATGATAGTTCTATAAGTGTCAGTTCTCTACAATCAGATGAACTAGATGGTGAATTAAAAAACACACTTTCTATAATAAGAGGGTAAGATTAATATAGCCTATATTTAAAACTACTCAACCATTAAACTGTCTTGTAGAGAGCATGTTCTTGTAACATTTCGTGAAAGATTTGTTTAGTGCTAGTTTGTTCTCTTCTTTGATGGATAAACATCAGAAAGGCACATGATTATGAGCAGTATCAAGCAGTGAGCAATCTTAAGCAGTGAACAATTAGGAAAAGTTTCATTTAAAGGTACTATATGATTATGTATCAAACAGCTGGAAATAACTTTTACTAAATATTGTAGGTTTTCCACTTTTAGAAAATATTTTTTTCTGTTCAACTAAGCTTTTTTTCTCCTTCATATTGTTTATATTCTCATTTCAGCACTGGCAACCCAACAAGAGAAGATCTATCACTGTTAAATCACAGAGTTTATCCTGATAGCTCTCCTAACAGAAATACTGGTACTGGTAGAGGTACTGGTAGATCCATGAGTCATCAAGACAACTCTCCCAGTAGAGGTACTGGTAGATCCATGGGACAAGGTAGCTCTCCTGGTAGAGGTACTTGTAGATCCAGGGGCCAGAATAGCTCTCCCAACAGAAGTACTGGTAGATCCAGGGACCAGAATAGCTCTCCCAACAGAAGAACTGGTAGATCCATTGGACAAGATAGCTCTCCTAACAGAAGAAGAACTGGTAGATCCATTGGTCAAGATAGCTCTCCTAACAGAAGAAGAACTGGTAGATCCATTGGTCAAGATAGCTCTCCTGAAAGAAGAATGGGTAGATCCAGTGGTCAAAATAACTCTCCTGATAGAAGTTTTGGTAGATCCGAGGGTCATCAAGATACCTCTCCAGATAGACG